GGAGCAACAACACTGTGTCCCTGTGTGAGTGGTGTTCTCCGGGAGCCTGAGTGACTCCATCTAAACGCCCGGGAGCCAGCTGCAGGGTGAAGGCCCCAGCCTGGGCCAGGCGGGTCCAGGGAGGAGGGGGTGGAGGCTCATGGGCGCTGACTCAAACTGGCCCCCCCAAAAAGGCTCAGCTTTTCCGCATCTCATGACTTTCCTTAAAAACCTCATTTTTTAATCCTTCCCTGAACGTTTTTCCTGCTCTTTGTTGCTATTTCCTAGCGGAGCATCTGCCTTCTATTTTTTGTGAACCGGAGGAATTGGTGACTAGAACACTGTTCACCACAGACGCTGTCCCGATGTGGAGCCGGCCAGGCTGCAGTCTGGTGCCCTGCTCCCCACCACCCCTGGGCCCCTCCCCAGGCTGCCACAGCCCCAGGGAGGCCGGGCTGGGACTCCCCAGGTTCTCTGCCCACAGAAGTTGCAACTATGTTTCTTCCTTGCAAGGTCTGGGGGTGGTCTCTCCTGGAAGGGCCCTGTTGTGTTAGGGGCTGGGTCCTTGGGGCTCGGGGGCTGTGGGCTGATTCCTCAGGGTCCCCGTCATGGCCATCACCTCTGATTTCCCTTCCTCTAAGGCACAGTTGGTGCCCTCCCGAGACTCGGGCCTGGCCAGGCCCCTGGGGAGGAGGTCCCAGCCTGCCAGGGCCTGAGGCAGGGAGGCCCCACCTGCAGGAGACTGGGGATGTCTGGGACCCTCCCCGGCCCAGTGAGCATTTTCCAAGACAGGCCAGTGCCTGAGGGACAGAGGCCTGCACACTCGGCAAGGCTCCTGTCCAGGAAGGGTCAGGGATAGGCCAGCTTCGAGCCAGGCGTCACCAGGACCTGAAGCCTCGGAGAAATGTCAGCTGGAGGTATGGCTCCCAGCCTGCAAAGCCAACTACCAGGCGATTTATTAACCTTTAAATGTGGACTTCCCATAAAAATGTGCAAATCTCTTTCCAAAGAAAAGGTGGGAAATGAAACCACGTGTGCACCACCAGGCAGAAGTTAGAACGGCGTGTTGTCTGCAGCAGTGCCCCCCCCCCCCGTTTGATTTACCCAGACGCAGGAGGGGGCCGGGGCAGCTGCCCCACTGGCCGCGCTAGTGGTCAGCCACCCCCCAGGCAAGCAAGCCCTCGGCTTGTGGACGGTCCCTCGGCTGGGGAACTGGGGCCACAGGAGTCGTCCCCCCCAAATCCCGGCTTCAGAGAGCCCAGGGGCTCCGTGAGACAGGTCAGGCAGCCCTGGGGCGTGGGGCCTCGGCCCTGGCTCTGCTGTCCTCCAGCCACTGGGAGCGGCCTGGCCACGTTCTGCCCGATGAGCCCGCGGGTTCGAGATGCACACTGCTCTAGCTGTGGGCCTGGATTCCAGCCCAAACATGCACTGTGTCTCGAAAACACTGGGGCTCATTCTGAGCTCTCAGCGCTTGACAGTCCCAGCAGTTAAGGCACCGAGGCCCCGCATCCAGCCAGGAGTCCTCCCGGTGGGGCAGCTGCTGGCCGGGAGCCGGATCAGTGTGGGTGCATTTACCATCTGCCCCTCACTCTTCACTCCTTCGCTCCTCACTGGCTCCCAAGCCTGCGATGGGCGTGGGGAGTGGGCTTGGGCCTGCAGGGGGGACTTTGCTGCACCCCCAGGTGACATGGCAGTCACCCCAGCCTGGGTCTGCCAGGCCTCACATGAAACCACAAAGTGCCTTTCGGGACACAAAGCTCCTCCCGGTGGGAGACTGCGCTGTGGGCGCAGCCCTTGTGGTCACAGTAGGTGTCCCATTGACACCTGGGAAGCAGGAAGGCTGAGCACTCAGCGACGGGTGTTGGTGGGCTCCGGTGAATACTCGCGATGCCAGTGATGGTGAGCTGCCGGCACGTCGGGCCCAGTGGCCCCACCTCCGCATGGTGAGGCGAGGGGTGCTCCCAAGAAGGGGTGCCCCCAGGTGGGGGTGCTCCCAGGTAGGCGGGCACGGCGAGAGCCCCAGGCCTGGCAGCTCTAGCTCGGTGAGCTGCCACATGGGAGAGACACTGGGTGGTCTCGTCAGCTCAGGAGCGACCTTCACGCCTCGGGGACAGATCCGCCTGTCAGCCCAGCCGCGTGTGCAGGGAGGAGGCGGCACTTAGCAGCGCCGCGGGGGCGATAAACGGCTGTGAGGCCCCACGCTGCCCACACTGGCTGCTCCCAAGAGCCCTCCCTGCCCCCGCAGCAGCTTGAAGGATGGCCTGAGTCACACGCACACACGTGTGCGTGCGCACGGGGAAGATCGGGCTCAGCAGCAGGACCCAAAAGCGGCATCTCTTCCTCCGGCTCGGAAATTGCCGGAATCCCAGAGATTCGCGCGGGCTCTGGGTTGGGTGCATCTGTCGGAATGTCTGCCGAGCAGCCTGTGGGCCGCCGACGGGTCCCGTGCAGGCCTTCGTGCCCCCCACTGGGTGTGGGCACGCGGACGAATACCGGCACACGCGCGCACACACAGAGCTGTGCACCCACACACAGGCGCATGCAGGCACATGCACACATGTGCACACACACCACAGAGGGCACACGGGCACGGGTCACATGTATGCATAAGACGCATATGTGTGCACATGTACCCACACACGGTGCACAGACGCACACACTCAAGGGTCATCGGAGGTGTACCACTGGGCTCCAGAATAGCAGTGCAGCCTGGGCTGTGTGCACTTGTCCCATCTGGGTGGGGTGTCCAGGGGCCCACGAAGGACACCAGTGCCTGTGTTTGGCACCCTTCTTCCAAAGCGGGAGCCCCCCAGGGCGGCCGGTCTGCTCGGCACAGTCTGAGCCCAGGGCTCACTCATGGTCACTGGGGAAGCCACGTGGGGGACGAGGGGCCAGGGAGGTCTGGGGCTGGGCTGGAGGTCACGAAAGTGGGACGTTCTGTGGGCACAGCCGCGGGGACAGGTGAGCAGACAGTGGAGGTTCTGTGCTGGCCCAGGCTGGTCCCCAGGCCGAGCACAGGCTGGGCTGAGTGGCAGCCTCAGGACCAACCCACTTCCCGCATGTGCTTGAGGCGACCAGCCTCCCTGCGGCGGCTCCGTGCAGCAGGGCTGGGGAGGACCCGGGCACCGCTGCCTTCACCTGACCCGGCCATGCCACCTGCCTGCTCCCCGCTCCCGGCTCCCAGGTGAGCCAGCTGAGACCCACAGGTGACTCACCCTGGTGGATCCATGGCTGTGCTCCCCACATCAGAACCCCAAGTGTGGGGTTCCCATGAGCTGAGGCCTTGGGCAGTGCTGAGGAGGGAGGGCTTCCAGGACTTGGAGGTGGCAGCCCCTGGGCTGGGCCCAAGCAGGACCCCACGCCAGGAGATTCAGAGGCCTGGCAGAGCCGGCAAGAGCCTGCCTTGTCCAGAGCTGCTCTTCTCTGACCAGTCCCCTTGCTGCCCTGCTGGGCACACCTACCTCGGGGTTCAGGGTTCAGGGCTCAGCAGCTGCCCAGGCCTGTGTCTCCCCCTCCTCGTTCCTGGCCCCCACCCAGCTCCTGGCCCTCAGTGCTCTCTGGTTCATCCCTGTGCCCTGGGCTGGTTCCCTGGCTGGGGCGGGGCAAAGGGACACCGTGGTTCTGGAGGCCTGTCCAGAGGTACTGGCAGGGGCCTTGGGCAGCAGAAGTCCCTGTCCCTTTGTCCCCCTGTCCTGGGCGACACCCCCAGGGCAGGGAGGAGCTGGCCTGGTGGGCAGGACTGCTGTACAATCTGGCAGTTGCCCGAGTCTCTAAGTTAGGGGTGCTTTCGGTGCGGCTGAGGCTGCCGTGGTGAACCCCGAACACAGGTCCAGCTGGTTCAGACCCGACAGGATCCAGGACAAATGCCAGTCATCTGGGAAGTTACCGCTGAGCGTGTTTTGAGCCAAAGTTTTGCTGGACGGAGGCGTGGGGGCAGCTCCCGGGGCCACATGGAGCCCGGCCTGGGGACAGGCACCTGCAGGCTCCTGGTTTCCAGTCATGCAGAGTCCTGGGCTCTGGTGCCTTCCTGGGGCCCAGAATCAGGACTGTCCTGGAACCAAGGCCCCCAGCTGCCTCAGCTCTGTCTCTGGCCTGGTTTGAGCCTCAGCTGTGTTTGTTCCTCAGAGATTTCAGGGTGCTGGCCTGGCTCCTGCCCATGGGCTGGGCTGTGTGGGGGAGGGGCCTCAGCTGCATGGAGCCCAAGGGCATGGGGGAAGAGACCGGGGCTGGTAGCAACCTGGGGGCACCACCAGGCCGGCTTGGGCCCTGGGTGGGGTAGAAGGGGGGAGACGCCTGTGAAGACCAAGGGGCCTGTCCTCCAGTCCCCGGTGAGCAGAGCAGGCACCGGTTCAGAACGGAGACGGGAGCCTGCAGAGCATGTCCGAACCCCATCCCGTCCTCAGGGGCTAACGTGGTTCACGTGCTGTGTATGGCAGGGGCAGTTGTGACAGCTAGGGAAGTGGCCATTTCCAAGGTCCAGGAGGGGCTCACTGTCCAGCTCTGTTCATAAAGTCGGCAGAAGTAAGAACTTGGGCGGTTCCTCACAGACCTGGGGACCAGCGCTCCGGGTTCTGGGGATTAATCCTGGAAAAACATCCAGTGACCCCTCAGGGCAAATACCAACCCCCCACCCCCAGGAGACTCAGCAGGAGGCTAAGGTTCGGCAGCCCGTGAAAGCCCAGGGCCTCCTGTTCATGGGTCTTTGTTGGCGGGGACCAGCTTCCTGGGGAGGGGGCTTCACTGGGCACCTGGGACTGAAGCTGAGGGGCTCCCTTCCTGCCATTCAGTCCGCAGGTGGGACGGCCTGGCCCCGCCCATAAAGAGCCCGGGAAGAGGGGGGCTGCACTGCCCTCAGGCCCCGCCCCTTTCCTTGGCTCCGCCCCCTTGCCTTGAGGGAGCCCGAGCTCAGCCTCTGGCCAGCACCTGAGCCTCTGGGGGTCTGGGGGTGGCCGCAGTGGGAGCGGGTGGCGGCACAAGGCCTTCTTGCCAACTGACCCGATGTCCTTCTGTTTTGTCCACAGTGAACTTTGACCACTTCCAGATCCTGCGGGCCATCGGCAAGGGCAGCTTCGGCAAGGTAAGGTGGCGCCAGGGAGGGGCCAGGGCGGGGCGGAGGTGTTGGATGGCCATCCATCCACTCAGCCCACCTGCTCCCGAGGGCCAGGGCCACCGGCTTCTGCCAGTGAGGATGGGGGGGTGCCTCCCGCCCAGCAGGCCAGTGCTGCCAGGACACACGGGCTGTCCCCGAGCTCACGGGTGCTGGGCGTCTTAGCCCTGGTGTGTGGGGGTCCCAGAGCACACAGCCTGCACAGCTGCCAGGCTCATGGGGCCGAGACCCCGACACCCCCTCACTGTCGGTGCCGAGGCCACTCCGCCAGGGAGCGGCGCCCTGGCCCTGGGGCAGCCTGGAGGCCCCACCCTCGTGCCCCACCCTCGTGCCCCCACGGGGGCTGCCTTAGAGCCCACTCTGCCGTCTTCTCTCCACCTCCCCCGACGGCTGCCCTGTTAGGCTGAGAGATCGGGACAATTACAGCTCAAAGAGGCTCAACACACTCTCTGCAAAGGTCACAGTCAGCCCCTGGACGCTGCCCAGATGGGTCTGTTGTAAAGGAACCGCGTCTGAGAGGACAGGTCTTTTCAGCCGTGGGGTGGGGGTGGTCCACAGATAAGCCCCCCCATACAGGGGTCTGGATTCTGCTTCTTTGATCTCTGGGCCTTTGAGAGGGATGGAGGGGAACTCGAACGCTATCAATCACCTCATCTCACTGAGTTACAAAGTGCAGACGCCAAGGCCCAGGGCCATAAAGCCGAGCAAAGAGGCCCGAGTATGTGAACCCGCTGCTCTTTCCAAGAGTGGGGAGGCAGCACCTCTGGGTGCCCGCCGATGGTGTCACAGTGGCGAACGTGCCAGATGCTGTCAGCTGGCTGAGACGGCTTCCCAAAGGCCTGCAGAGTCCTGGGTTCCCCGGGTTCCGTCAGGGTCTGCCCCCCTCCCCCGAGGGACATGCAGAGGTGCGGCCGATCAGGAGTTCGGGTCCTCCGAGGTCTGGCTGCCCAAGCCACGGCATTGGCTCCCTGCAAGGCCCCACCCACCATGGCTTCCGGGGAGGCCAGCTGGTTAAGAGGGTGGAAGGCAGGTCTGGGCTGGGGACACGTCGGGGCCACGATGGCAGCAAGGCACGCACAAGCTCACCCCGAGGGACCGAGGGGCGCACGGGAGAGGACCTTTGGGGGAACAGCCACCTTGGGGTGGGAGGGTCAGGTCAGGCAGGTCGCTGGCCATTGGGGCGAGGAGCCAGGTGGCCCCTCGCTCAGTCCGAACTCTGATCTGTCCCTGCTGCCTGTGAGATGGGCCCCGTCTGCAGGAGCTGCAGACACCATCTCGGAGTCTGGGGTGCCTGACAGCACAGGGCTGGGGCCTCGGGCCGGCTCTGCCCCTCCTGCGGCTGCAGAAGCTGCTCAGTGATGGGAGGCAGTCCCCTACCACTTTGGAGGTGCAAAATGCCTACTGTCAGGCGTTTTCTGGGAGCAAACGCTACTTAGGAAAAAAAAGAGCTTGGGGTGAGTCACCTGCAAAACTCGGCGTCAGCAGCCTTCAGTGAAAAGGCAGCCATGCGCAGCGCTGTGGCCTGTGGCCGCAGGGGTTCCCAAGGAGACCCCTGGGTGCCCCAGGGGCCAGGGCTTGCCCTCTTCCTGTTTGGATCGAGTTCCACTTCCCCTTTGCGGGGCCTGAGTGATGACCAGAGGAAGCGGCTTGGGAAGCTGCGGCCCATTTCGTGTGAGGAATTGGCTTCTTGGGGCCGGCTGCTTTCCGCTGGGAGTCTGTGTCGCTGCCGCCGGCTCCCACGCCTGGTTGGTGGACACCGCCTGCCTGGTCCGTGGCACCAGGGTCCCTCTGAGCAGCCATGGTGCCCACCCCCAGCATTTCTAACTGCCACCCACTGGAGCATCAGGGGGGAGCTGAGCCCCTGAAGACCCTGCCCCAGCCCCAGCCCCAGCCCCAGCCCAGTCCTCAAACGGAAGCCAGGAGGGTCCTTGGTGCTCTCGGCCAAGACTAAACAGCACGCAGGTCCAAGGCCAAGCCCCGTGACCCTGGGCAGGAACCTCTCTGGGCTGAGGCAGTTCCAGGCAGGACTTCTCGGGGTCTCAGTGGCCTGTGCGGACCCCTGTTCAGTCTGAGCCGTGGCAGAGCGCCCCCGGGAGTGTGGGCATCTCCCGGGCCAGCTGTGCCTGTGTGAGGCCCTTGGAATGGCTGGCGCAGTGGATGGTGGTGTGCAGGATGCTACCTGGGGAACGGCAGCTGTGGCTTGCAGAGGTCAAGAAGGCCACCGTGCCTGGAGGAAGTGGGGACACTCGGGGCTGAGAGAAGCTGCCAGCTGCCGTGTCAGAACCCCACATGCTCAGCCCTTGGGCTGGCTCCCCTCCGTGGGGCAGGACCGGCTGATCTGGGGCACTGTGTCGGTGTGCGTCACCACACACCCTCGTGACGGCATCACGGAAGCCACGTCCCTGGTCCCCGAACAGAGCCGTGCTCTCTGTCCCCCCGCCTCTCCCCTCGACTCTAGGCGGTGCCCACACTGGGTAGGTCCTGTGTCCATTGCTTACAGGAAGTAGCAGAGAAGGCCACCTGGACGTGGCATCATGCAAACTGCCACACGTCCTTACACGTCTTCGTGGCCGAGGGACACTCCCTGAGCTCACCAGCTCGTGCCCACAAGGCAGTTGGACGCTAAGGCTGCCTCGTTAAAGTGCAGTGTGACAGATGTCTCTAGGAGAAAGCGCCTTCGTCCCAGGATGCTGTCCCGGGGGAAGGGAGGTGCTCACTCCCCAGAGCTGAATCCAGCAGGTGTGCAGGGACACTGATGACCAGACGGTTCCAGGCACCTGGGACCTCGAGTTCCAGAACCTTCCACTCTCCCTGACTCCTGCTCATTGAAGATGTGGAGACCAAAGACTGTGGGGCTGTCAGAAATGGCTCTCGGTGGCCCGTCTTTGTGAGGTCTTGCCATGACTGGAGTGGGGACACAGCACTGGCTCCTCCTCCTTCGACCTGCACTGCCCGGGGTCCCGAGTCAGGCTGAATTTCCTCTGCCACAAGAGAGTGTGGCCGGCGTCCTTGGAGGTCCCTCGCCCCGGTCCTGCCTGCCACCATCCGTGGGAGCAGAGTCCGCACTGCCAATCCATGGTTCAGTTGAGGGGCCGGAGTGCGGCACAGGGGTTTGTGAACAGCAGCTGCCGTGCACAGGGGCCGCCTGGGGTCCTGGCTCTGGCCAGGGCCCCCTCATTTGTTCCCCAACACCCCTGCGAGCCGGTTGCTGCTCTGAGCCCTGGGAGGGAATGCGGGGGTGGACAATGGTGCTGCCGCCCGCCCGGGCCATGGCTGGGGAGGGGCACTGGCTCCAGCTCAGGTGGGCTGGGTCCTGCCTGCTCTCAGGAGGCACCTGTGCAGGGGAGACATGTCCCTCCAGAGATGCACATCCGGCCATTTCCCTGCCGCACCCACAGGTGTGCATCGTGCAGAAGCGGGACACGGGGAAGATGTACGCCATGAAGTACGTGAGCAAACGTCAGTGCATCGAGCGGGACGAGGTCCGCAACGTGTTCCGGGAGCTGGAGATCCTGCAGGGGCTGGAGCATGTCTTCCTGGTGAACCTCTGGTGCGCCCGCCTGCCCGCTGGGGTGCAGCCCCCGGGTCGCCCACCCCTGGTCCTGCCCGGGGCACTGGCAGCACCCGGCCGCCCTCCCTCTCCCCGATCACTCACAGCCCCCCGCCCAGGCCGCCAGCTGTCGGGTGTCCAGGGCACCCTGTATTCGTGAGGGTCCCCCACCTGCAGGACACCAGCTTTCCCACAAAGAAGGCCTGGGACCTGCAAGTTTCAGGCAGAAAGTTGAGAGGGCTGTTTCCTCCACAAAAGGGGGCTCCAGACCCACCCCAGGAGGTGGGGACCTTCAGGTCGCAGCAGGCCACCCCCTTCCCCGAGGGAGCGCCCGGTGCAGGGTCCTCTGATCCCCGGCATTTCCCCCTCGGGGTCGAGGGGTGGTGGGCGATACTCCCTAGTGTGCAGGCCGGCGGCCCCCTGTGGCACTGGGTGGCGCCCTCGTGCATGTGGCAGGCCCTCCCCCGCAGGTACTCCTTCCAGGACGAGGAGGACATGTTCATGGTGGTGGACCTGCTGCTGGGTGGCGACCTGCGCTACCACCTGCAGCAGAACGTGCAGTTCTCCGAGGACACCGTGCGGCTGTACGTCTGCGAGATGGCGCTGGCCCTGGACTACCTGCGTGGGCAGCACATCATCCACAGGTGCACGCCCACCTGTGCGGGGCGGCGGGGACCTCTGCAGGGCGCCTCACACTCCCCCAGGGGCCCTACCGGGGGCCGGCACACAGAGCCCTTGGGTCTCAGGGACCCTGGGGCCTGGCCCTGTTGGGGTGGCCTCTGCCTGGTTGGGGGACCGCAGGGCCCCATTTGCCCACCTGCCCTGGGTCTGGGGATGCAAACTAGAGCAGCTGCTGAAAGCAGAGGGAATGCGGGGGCTGGAGCTGCATCTCTGGGATGCAAGCCCGTGGCGTGCTTGGCCATGGAGTCTCAACCTCGATTCCGGCCTTTCCACCCCAGTGGCCTCTGCTGCCCCACGTGGTTCAGAAACCCGACAACGGCTCCGCACCTGGGAGGCCGGCCTGCTCAGCCCCAGCCCAGGCTCTGGGAGGCAGGGTCTGCTGGGGGTGCTGCTTCTGTCTCAGGGGGCTTTGGCTGCCTCTGTATCCAGAGGGCTGGGCTTTTCTCTGCCTTCTGCCTGGTCCGGAAGGTGGGGCTGGAGGCGGCCCCCTCCCAGGGACCAGGATGGCTGGTCTGCAGGCTACGTCCGTGTGTTGCCGGGTTCGGGGCTCTGGGCCCTCCAGCCTGACCAGGGGAGCACCCAGCCCTGCCAGGGGTCACAGGGCATGAACAGGAAGGGTCTCTCCACTCCCTGCTCTTTCTGCAGAGACGTCAAGCCCGACAACATTCTGCTGGATGAGCGAGGTGAGCAGGGGCTTGAGGGATGAGCGCTCCGCCCTCGGGATGCACCTCTGGTCTTTGGACAGCCTCCCTGTCCTCTCTCCTCACAGGACACGCGCACCTGACCGACTTCAACATCGCCACCATCATAAAGGACGGGGAGAGGGCGACCGCACTGGCTGGGACCAAGCCGTACATGGGTGAGCACAGCCCAACTCCCCCCTTCCCACCAGCCCACCGTCCCACTGCAGCCTGTGGCCAGTGGGCCAGCCACTTCTTACAGGCATACGGCTGTCAGCGTGAGGGACAGCTGTGTTTGATCTGTGCAGGTGACTAAGTGACGTGTGAGAGGGTAATGAGTGTGACAAGGAGACACCCCAGTGTGCACGGCGGGTGGTGGGACCTGCCTGTGTTGGTGGCAGCCTGGTCTTGGACCGCAGCCCCAGGTGCCAGCCCTGAAGGGCTGCTCAGCCTCTCCTTCCCTTCCCGGAAAGCCCCGGAGATCTTCCAGTCTTTCGTCAATGGCGGGACCGGCTACTCTTTCGAGGTGGACTGGTGGTCGGTGGGGGTGATGGCGTACGAGCTGCTGCGTGGATGGGTACGGCTCCTCAGGCTCAGCCCCCCCACCCCGGCCCCAAGCTGGTGGTGCCCCGGGCGTGGTCCCCCTGGGGAGGAGGAGGCTGCCCCGCCCCGGCGCCCAGAGACACCTGCACTCTCCGCCAGTGGGGACACACGCTGTTAGCAGCCCCTGCCCTGGGTGGGCGTCCAGTGCCCGGGCAGCAGCAGGGTGGGGAGTGCTGGGGTTTCCACGGTGGCTGGGCCTGTGCACTGGCCGCTGTGCACTGGGCCTGGAATGACCCTTCCCCACCCCCGGGTGGGGGCAGCCTCTCCAGGGCCCATCCACTTGGCCCAGGGCCTGAGGGTGGATTAGGGGCCTTTTCTGGTCAGTTGCCCGCCGGAGGTGCAGCCAGCCCAGGTACCCGCGTCCCCTCCTGGCAGTTCCTAGGGCAGGTGGTGCTCAGCAGTGCCTGACTGGGGTGGGGCCGCAGGGAGTGCGGGGCCGTGGGCAGGGCGCCGGCACAGTGCTGTCTGCTTGCCCAGAGGCCCTACGACATCCACTCAAGCAACGCCGTGGAGTCCCTGGTGCAGCTGTTCAGCACCGTGAGCGTCCAGTACGTCCCCTCCTGGTCCAAGGAGACGGTGGCACTGCTGCGGAAGGTGAGCCCCGCCCAGGGTACAGGGCCCCCAGGTCCCGGCTGGGCCAGCCTCCTGTCCCGAGGGGGTACGACACGGAGCCCCTGCTTCCCGGAGGCGTCTGGCTCCTGCATGTCTGCCTGGAGTCCCTCTGCAGGGGCTCCCCAGCCATTAGCGCTGGCTCTGTCCTCCCACAGCCGCCCCGCCTGTCTGCGCACCTGCGGCTCAGCCCATGGCGCCGGGATAGGCGCCCAAACCAGACACAGAGTTCGCTCTGTGTGGGTCTCATGCCGAATGTGCTGGAGGGCAGTTGTGGGGGACAGGGTGCCAGCCATGCTGTGCTCTGGCCCCTCTGCCTCTACTCCCCTCTAGCAGGTGGGCAGCCACCCCAGGGAGCAAACAGAGAAGCCCCAGGACCCCCTGCAGCCCCCAGGGCCCAGAGCTGTCAGGAACAGGGCCGCAGTCTCCTGCCAGCTTGCCACCCTCAGGCAGGGCTGGGCTGTGGCCCCTGTCCCCTCTCTGGCCCCAAGCTGCCCACTGGAGAGCTTCACTTTAGAGACACAGGTCCCTCAAGAGCAGGGGTGAGAGGGCGCTGGACATGTGGGGCCCAGTGGCTCCCAGTCCTGAGTCTTGGCCTGTCGGGTCCTCCTGGGCAGGTCTGGCCCTTGCCTGGAGACCTTTGACCCTGGAGTTGTAGCCAGGCAGCCAGAGTCTCTCCTGTGCCTAATGGAGCCTCCTAACCTAGCTTTTGCCCCTTGGAGTGCTGCCCTTACCTGCCCAGATGGTTCCCAGGTGGGACCTTGGCTCTCGGAAGCTCCAGGGGGAGTGCAGATGGCCTGAGCACCGAGCCCTACACCTGGGGAAGCCTCGCCCCACCACCCGGGCACGCCCCGGGCCTCGTGGGCCTGCGAGGGCCGTAGTTAAGGTCAGGTGGCCGCCCTGCAGTTGGCCAGGCCGAGGCTGCCACCTGCTGGCGAATCTCAGCAGACCGCCCTCTGCCTCCTCCGCCGGAGATCGGCGAGACCGCGCACCTCAAACCTTCCCCCGGCGGCGCTCCTGCGCCGACCGGGTTGCCTGCCTAACCCTGAGACCCTGCACGTCCCACCCTCGGGCCTCTGGCCTGGACGGCTCTTCTGGGCCAGGTGCTGGGCCGCGGGGCGTCGGGGCAGCCCCATCTGATGTGGACTCCTTCCAGCTCCTCACTGTGAACCCCAAGCACCGCGTCTCCAGCCTCCAGGATATGCAGGCGACCCCCTCGCTGGCCCATGTGTTGTGGGACGACCTCACCCAGAAGAGAGTGGAACCGGGTTTTGTGCCCAATGTAAGCCTGCACGACCGCCAGTTGGCGGTGGGGCCGGGGGCGGGGCCTGGGCGGGGCCACGGGTGAGCCCCGCCCAACCTTCCCCCTGCAGAAAGGCCGCTTGCACTGCGACCCCACCTTCGAGCTGGAGGAGATGATCCTGGAGTCCCGGCCACTGCACAAGAAGAAGAAGCGGCTGGCCAAGACCCGGTCCCGGGACAGCGGCAGGGACGGCTCCCAGTCCGTGAGTGTGGCCCGGGGTGGGGGGCGCTGCCTGCCCTGGACCCTCTGCTCTCGCCGGCCTCAGCCCCTCTCTCGGGCACCTCGTGCCCACCGGGCCCCACAGACCCACTGCCGCTCCTCCCCACCCAGCAGAGCTGCTGGAGCGGCGGGTACACACTGTGGCGTGCCCCCCCTTCCAGCTCACACTCGACGTGGCCCTGGTGATGGGTCCTGAGAACGGGCTTCTGGGGCAGCCCCTGTGCCAGGGCACCCAGGGCATCCAGGGCAGGGCCCCTCGAAGCAGGCGTGGAGATCTGATTTTGTGTGCAAGCGATAGGTGACCAGGAGGACCCAGGAGGAAGTGGGGGAGGGGAGGGAGCCGAGCAGGATGGTTTCCCGCCAGGTCTGGTCACAGGGACACTGCCTTCCATGTCAGCATCCACTGAGGTGGGGGGCGGGGGGCTGGGTGTCCGCCCAGGGAACCCTCCTGTCCCTGGCTGAGGGCCACCTGGGAGGTGCAAACCCCCACTGCTCTGGCTGCCGAAACAGAGTTCCAGCTTCAGAAGAAGCCCCAGGTGCAGCCTCCGGAGGAGAGGCAGACCAGGTGGAAGAGGCCCTACCTGAGGGCATGAGGGAACCTGACATCTGTGCCTTATTCTGACTAACAGGAGAATGACTACCTTCAGGACTACCTTGATGTGATCCAGCAAGACTTCGTGATTTTTAACAGAGAAAAGTGAGTGCGTGGAGGATGGGGAGGACCAGTCGGTGGTGATGGAGGCAGAGAGGAGTTGGGGGGATGGGCCAAGGTTTTCTTGGCCATACCAGTCCTGAGCCCCACCAGTCACATGGCATCAGTAGGCCTGGGGGTCTGAGCACTGGCCCTGGGGGGTGGGGAGGGGCTCCTCCGGAGCTTTTAGTCCTAAGCTGGGGCCAGTGGCCAGGGCCTTGAGGAGACACTCAGCAGACGTCCTTGGGGAGGGCTGGTGGCCTCTTGCATTTTTGCTGTCACCACTCAAACAGCCACCTGCTTGGCCAACGTTTATGGAGCACCAGGGACTGAGGGGGAAAAAGGTCGTGCTGGCTGGCAGGGAGGACATCAAGCCTCTGACCCCTCCTCAGTGGAGGGACAAAGCCCAGCGCCGGGGGACCCTGGGGAAGGAGTGGCTGGGTGAGGCCAAGGTCCTCCTGCAGGAGGTGGCCTTGGGTGCTGGCCAAGAGGGCGAGCAGGCTGGGTGGTGCTCTGCCCTGCTTCAGTGACCAGAGGACATGTGGGCACTGGTTTAGGACACAGGCCACCATCCTGGAGGCCAGAGGCCTAGGTGGGAATAGGGCTCAGCCACCGTCTCCGAAAAGCCCCGTCCCCAAATTGCTGACCCCAGAACTGTGCTGACCAGGCCTCCTCTCAGCTCCCGGCCCTGCTGCTCCCGGGCCCAGGGCAGTCGGGGTGCTGCTGAGCCCCAGGCCTCCACCTGCTGGCCTCCTGCCTAGGACCCGCCCCACAGCCACCACTGAGGGCTCCCTGCTGGCCCCTGTGCAGGTGACGCCCGGCCCCCTGCCCTGTCCCCGAGGAGCACACTCTGGAGTTGCTCAAACTGGCTGTTGCTGGGCGGCTGGGGAGGCTACGCGAAACCCCTCCCGCTGCTTCCTTCTCCAACAGGCTGAGGAGGAGCCAGGACCCGGCCCAGGCTGCCCCTGAGGCTGAGGATGCGGACGGAGAGGAGAGCCCCGCCCCGCCCATGTGCGGCCCCATCTGCCCCTCGGCAGGGAGCAGCTAGGAGCCCCGGGACTGCACTGGAAACTCGGGCCGCTGGAGGGACGGGGCGACTGGTGGGAGGAGGCCTCGCGTCAACCTTCCCACTGAGCAGCCCCGACCCAGGCTGGCGCCTCTGCTCTGTCCTGGCTACGTTTCCACCGGAGCAGCCGGACCACCAAGCTGCCACTGGGCTTTCAGACGTGCCTGGTGACAAGAGACCGTCAGTGGGCAAGGAGAGCGGCGCCACGCGGGACCTCTGATTACATGTGACCGTGGTCCTTCCTGGTGGCCTCCTGGCCCACTTGCTGGCAGGCTGCGAGGCTGGGCCACCTCTCAGCTGCACGTAGGCCTGGTCGCCGGCCCCACCATTGGCTCTGCCATGGGTCTGTGGCTCGGCCCAAGGTCCACGGTTCTTGTACATTAAAGGGGAGTGTCATGGGCCGGGAGGCGAGGATGATTTTATAAATACGAGTGTTCTGGCACTGTCTGTAGCGTTTCTGTACACTTCCCCCCTGAGGAGGACAGCAGCCCCACTCAGGGTCGGGGTTCCACGTCCTGCACCCACTGGGCCGTCGTGCAGTTCCCTCCAGGCAGAGCTCTTGCTCCCCAGGCCTGGGCTGGGTGCTGGGAGGCTGTGGCAGGGGTGGTGCCCGCCGGGCAGTGGGCTGGGTGGTGGAAGGACAGGGACCGGGACCGGTCCAGCCTGAGCCTGCTGAGCCAGGCGCAGGGTGGATGGCGACTTGCTGGCCCACTCACTGGGCTGCGGTGGTCACTGCAGAAACACCGCGTCGTGTGCCCACCTGGGGGAGTCCAGCCGGTGACCTGTGGGGGAAGCCGGTGTGCAGAGGTGGGCTGCAGGGGGGACAGACCCCAAAGTTCTGGGCGGAGACCTGGCCATGTCAGAGGCTGGGCAGGGGGGCATCTGGGTTTTGTTCAGACGTGTAAATCTACATGCGATTCTGAGACCCCAGGAGACAGTGGCCAGTTTCTTGGTGCTGGTGGCAGGGACGTGGGTGTGTCTGGCCCCACAACTGCCTACTATCTTGCTGAGCAGGGGACACAGTGCTGTGGACATCAGCCTTGGGGGGCCCCAAATCAGCTCCTGGGCTGCAGTGAGCCAAGCGCTCAGCCAGAGGAAGCCCCCTGAACTTGGGGGGACCAGCAGGACAAATGGTGGGCTGCTGCCCTGGGCCCGACCTTCCCCTTGTCTTCCCAGTGACTATGATCTTCTGCTTTGGGGTTGGGGTGGGGGCGTCTCATTTCTGGGGTACAGAACTAGAACCATTTTTATGAAAGAGGCTGAGGCAAGGGCTGCCCAACGGTTCCTTATTCTGGAAGGTTCCGGGCAGCCTAGCTTCAGGTCTGGATCAGAACCCTGGGCCGTGCTGCCTTAAGCTCACGTAGCCCCCAAACTTCTGCTGTGCTCATGCCCACATGGTCAGGCTGTGATCGGAGGCCCCTGGGGTCCGTCCCTGTCCCCCTGCCCCCGTGGCAGGCCCAGGCCCAGGAGCACCGGTCCTCGGCCACTTTCCCAGGGGGAGCCCCTCCCCACTGCGTGGACCCAGCCCTGCCCCTTCCCAGCACAGCAGCGCTGTCCCTGAGGGTGGTCTGTGGTCCGGCTTCACGGCCCGCACGGTGCCAGGCCACTGGCCAGCTGTGGGGGGCCCAGGGTCCGGCGCAGAACCCCCTCACAGGGGGCAGAGAAGCGGGTTAGCTTACAAACGACGCCTTTAATCTGACTAGTCCCCAGCAGACCAGTGACGGGGCTGCGGTCCGGGCTGGGGCGGCACACGGGGTCCCGGCTGCAGCCGTCCTCACCGCGTGAAACTGCTGCTCTACTCAGCTACTTCGATGCACGGCCAGCGACAGCAGGAGGGCGTCCTAGCTAAGGTCCTACACCACCCTGGATGGGCGACTAGGGAGGCCGGGGTGTGGTCCTCTGGAGGGAGGGCGTGCGGCCGCGGTGGCAAGGCTGCGCCGGGCTCATTCCCAGCGGGTGGGTCCCTGATGTCACAGTGCCCCTGTGGGGCCCAGCTCACGGGGCACCACTCCTCATGCCCCGGAGGGCGGGGGGCCGAAGCCCTGGGGGAGGCTGGTGGCAGAGCCGGGGCTTTGAGGGGCACTGGCTGACACCTGTGTGTTGTGAGGCCCTGGGTGCCCCACAGCCTTAGTGGGGCAGCAAACCCGTCTTCACGGGGCACCCAGCACCCAGCACCCAGGGCAAAGACGTGAGCTGCCCCTGGCAGTGACCCCTCCCCAGATTCAGCCCTAGTAACAGGCCCCGGGGCCCCCAGAGTGGCATTTCTGGAGAAGGGAGGGAGGGTCTAGCACCTTTCAAAGTCAGTCCCACAAAGGGGAAGCTAGCAGGGTGGGCATGGCCCGCCCTGCCAGGGACAGCGCCCACTTGCTCCACCCTGAGCTGACCCCGCGATGCCTAGGACAGCGAGGTGATGTTGGAACGCCCACCCGGGGGCGCCATGATCTTCTGCGCTGTGCGTCTGGCAATGTGGTCGTCGGCCTGAGACCCTGTGGAGAAAGGGGGTATGAGCACCAGGAGGGGTCTGGGATGGCAGAGCCCCACCCACCCACACTGACGCTCCCTGAGTGGCCGTGGCGCGTAGACCAGGTGACGGGGCGGGGCCTCCTGTCGCCGAGGCCTTGGATGTGCAGGACAGTGTGGCGTTTGCAGCAGACGGGGGTGAAGGTCAAGCCAGTCTGGGGCAAGGGCCAGCTCTGCCTCAACCCTCCAGTGGGTCTCAGGCTGCCCCATGTGACGCATATTTCAAAGGAGACAGGCTCCATGTCCTCGGGGGGTGAGCAGGGATGGCAGTCACCTCCCCAGGGGCTGGCTCCCCCCCCAACCCCAGGACTGGAAGGAGAGGGAGGGCCTGGATCGGGGTTGCAGGGAGAGCCTGGGGCTCAGCGCTTCTGGAAGGCTCCGCCACACAGCCTGCAGAGGCTGGAGACGGGTGGCCCGTTCACTGGGGCCACCTGAGCCCTCCCAGGTGTCACAGCGTGTCCCTTCCTCAGAGTCTCTCACCCTGGGACTGGTGGGGCTGCCACAGGGTGGAGCAGCCGGACTCCCACAGGGTCCCAGAGCGACAGCCCTGGCCCACACTGGGGCAGGGAGGGGCTTCCCGTCCGGGCCTCACCCCTGGGCCCCTCGCACGGCCCCCTGCACAGCGACAGCCCTTGCCCACGGGCACAGACCCAACTCACCAGACAAGCTGAAACCTGACTGGTGCAGGTTCCGCACGGGCGGCACTGAGACCTTCCCTGGGCAGGACCCTCGGGCCTGGGCACCACCCCCAGGCTTGGTGGGCACCATCACCTCATGGACCGGCCCGTCGTAGAGGCCCCGGGGCACGCCATGGATCTCCGCCAGCTGCGGGTTCAGGGAGGTGGATGTGAGGGGCTGGGCCACCCCGCCGCTGGAGGGCAGGGTGCTTCTGCCGAAAACCTGGCCCTTCCACGCTGTGGGCCCCCCTCGCCAGGGGGTCCCCCTCACAGTGGGTCCACACTGTCAGGAGCCCTGGGGCTCCCTGCCAAGGGGCATCCGCTTGTGTGTATGGATTCCCATCTCCCTCCCCTCCTGCCTGCACACATGCGCACACCCACCTCCTCCCACCTCCTGCCACCTGCACACACGTGCACGCCCACCTCCCTTCCCAGAGGCCGTGCCTGGCAACACAGGAGCTCTGCTCAGACAAGGCAGCCTCGCAGAGGAGGCTGCAGTTTGGAATTGGAAAGCAACCCCCGCAGAGCCTCCGTCTCCTCGGCACCCACCGTCCCGCAGCCCTGGCACAGACCCCCCTCTGGCCTGTAGGAAGCCTCAGGATGGAGGCCCCTGAACGCGGCTCCCGTAGCCAGAGGCATTTCCCAGCAGCCACCGCGATGGACGAGAGGCCCAGGGGGTGAAGCAAAACCTTCGGATGTACTCATGTTTCTGCCTGAGCCTCCTCCGGGGGGTGTGGTTTGGACCCACGACCGCTGGGCCTGAGCCCAGTCCCGGGGAACCGCTGACCAGGTCCCGCCTGAGGGGTCGCTCCTAGGCACCGGCACAGGGCCAGCGAGAGTCACTGTGGGGTCTCCGGGCACCAGGACTCGGCTGAGTCTAGCCCCCACCCCACGGCCCCCGGAGCAGGACGGGGAGCCTGTCACCTGTCTGCACCTCAGGTGTCACCTCTGTGCCTGGCTGGGTCTGCGACCTCACAGGCTGTGCTGGAACCCAGCCCAGAGCAGGCGGCACTCCCGCCTCGCCCACTGGCCCCGGCCTTACCCTGTTGCGCGCCTTGATCCTCTTGTAGACGAAGTCCGGGAACGTCTTCCGAGGAATGAAGCGGCCGGCCCCGGGGGTGACACTCAGGTGCCCGTCCTCCAGGACCACCCTGCCCTGGCTGATGACCACGGAGGGGGCCCCTCGGCACTCGACGCCTTCAAAGATGTTGTACTCCACGTTCTGGGGAGGCAGGGCCGAGGTCCAGCACCCCCCAAGGCAGCCCCTGGCTGTCCCCGCCCCCTGGAGTCCTGCGTGCCCATGTCCGACAGGACACAGTCAACTCGGCCGGGCCAGAGCCAGCAGGAACTGGCCATGACCTCCGGCGCCTGGGCCTGGGCCTTGTTTCTCAGGAGAAAAGGGCACTCGGACGGGCCTGCCCTGGGGCTTGGCCGTAGGAGCGGGCAGGCACGTGAGACTCGGCTGCCGTGTGCAGACAGATGTCCCGGCCACTTGTCCCCGCTGAGACAGGGGAAGCTGCCCCATGGCAGCCCTGGGAAGGCTGCTGGGCCCCGGCCCCCCGACCCTGACCCGGGACCTGGCCTCTCTCACCAGGTTGTGGCTCTTGGCAGAGATGATTTTTGTGGCCTTGGGGTTCCACAGAACCAAGTCGGCATCGGAACCCACGGCCACCCGCCCCTTCCTCGGGTAAAAATTGAAGATTTTGGCTGCATTTGTACTGGTCACGGCAACAAACTCGTTCTCATCCATTTTCCCCGAGGCCTGGAAAGCAAGCAGATGAGCAAGGGGTCTCAGACTCCACAGGGACACTGTGGCCCTGTCCCCCTTCCCCCCGCCCCGGTAGCTAGCGCCAGGGCATGTAAACCTCCCGGTCCAGCCCAGCCCGCCAGCATCTCCTGGTCCCCGTGCCCGAGGCCTGGTCTCCATGCCTGCTCTGAGGGTCAACGAACAAGCCTCCACGACAGCTGTGTCCCCTGAGGCTTGTGACCCTCTCCCCAGGCGGCCAGGAGGCCTGGGGAAGCCGAGCCGCCAGGAGCCAGGTCTGGGCCCGGGCCCGGCGAAGGGCTGGCGGTGGGGGTACCGGGGGCAGGCAACGCCAGGCAGGGCTTGCCGAGTGAGGGGGCATCTGTGATCTCAGGCACCGCCGGGCGTGATGCCACCAGGCGGGGCCCCTCCTGCTCGCCCTCCGCCATCCGCACAGATGGGGTGTGAGGTGGGGGGAGGGCCGGCTGCAGGGCTGGGCACCAACGCCTGGGCCCACACACTCCACTCCACTCCACGCGGGGCATTCGCTGGTTCGGTGCCTCCCACGCCAATGAACCAGCAGGGCCCGACCCAGCTGGCTCTGGCCGGGGAGAGGTGCCCGGGCCCTCGGACTTACCACGCACTTCTCCCAGACGACGGACATGCGCTCCTCCACGCCGTTGGTGCCCTCAGGGATGAGCGTGAAGTTGTCCTTGCCGACGGCCTTCTGGGCGGTGGTGAAGGTGCAGTGGGCGCTGCCGGTCACCTGGAGGTCCCCACTGGGAGCAAGTGGGTCAGGGGAGCCCCACGTGGCCTAGCCTCCCTTAGCCAGACTCAGCTTTACTCTCTCCCCTCCGGGACCAGTGGCCCGAAGGGCCACAGGGTGTCTGTGAGGCTGGCGCTGGGTGGAGCTGGTGCCCCAGGGTGGGGGTGGGGAGGGGCAGATCAGGGTGGATGCTTTGGTGGGAGGTGTGGGCCCGGCTGGAACCACCCACGGGCTGAGTTCTCGCCCTGCACAGAGCACACGGGGCCCCCCTGCGGCCCCCCAGCAGCTCCTCACCTAGACAGCAGGGAGGCGAGGTGGTCGGCAGTGGTGGCGTCTGGGCTGATCGGGGGTGACGTCACGAAGGCTGCGGCCTTTGCCCAGTTCTTGCTCCAGTAGTGCGAGCCATCGGCACCCAGGCTGGCCGTGGTGGGCTCCCCGAACACGACCACCCCTGTAGGGAGGCCCGGGAGTGGCACCCGCCAGCCTGCACACCCCCGGGCCTGAGCCGGGTGGAGGCCTGGGCACTGCCCTGGCCCTTGATGTCCTGACCCTGCACGGCTTGCCCCTCTCCTGGGTCGCCTGGCCCCACTCCCGCACACCCCCGCCGGGGGTCGGGCCTGCTGGGCCACAGGCCAGAGTGAGGCCCCCCCGCTTGTGCACATACCCGGGTTCTCCTTATTTACCCCCACCTCCCCCAGCTGTGTGGGCGCTCTGTGAGCAGAGGGCACCCAGCTCTGGGATGTGCGTATATCCCAGAGTGTCCAGAGAACAGTAACGTGGGCTCCGGGCGGGAAGGGGGGTGTCCAGCCGGGCACGGTCCCTGCGCACATGCCCTGCCCCCAGCATGCTCTGTCGCCCCCAACAGGCCCACGGTGGCTTCAAGAGCCCTGGTCAGCAGACGCTGCCCCAGGATGGGAGACTTCCTCCAGCCACACGGGAATGGGGGTGGGGGTGGGGGGCAGCGTAGAGGGGGGAGCAGGAAACCCCACAAGGCCACACCCTGGAGCCCCTCCCTAAGGGAGGGGACCCACCTGGAGAGGCAATGGAGCCCCAGGCCCAGCACTCACCCTTGCGCTTGGCTCGGGCCACCATGTCGGCGGCGCCCTTGCTCATCACCTTGGTGACGTAGAGGGGGCAGCTGGCCTGCTTGGCAATGGTGACGGCTCGGAACACAGCCTCGGCCTCCACCTGGGGACAGGGCGGCTCAGGCAAGTGCGGGCCTGCAGACCAGAGTGGGCGCGGCGGGCCCACGATCCCCCACAGGCCCTGGGTCCAGAGGGGGCACCCCTGGGTGGGCGAGCACCCACACGGCTGCCTCAGCCTCGAGTCCCGGGCTTGGGGTGACCAGTGGTCAGAGGAACCTGTGCCTGGTGGGGACAGACGCCTGGGCTACGGAGCCAGGACCCTCCCACAGGGGAAGGTGGCACGTGGGGCACACGCGGCAGGCACAGCGCCTACCTCCTCGGGGCGGCTGAGCACGTGTCCCTCGGGGCCGGTGATGCCGAGCTCCAGCAGCCGCTTCTGCTCCTAAAGAAGCCGACAAGGTGCCCCGTTCCAGCCCCGGCGCACCAGGGCCTGCACCTTGGCCAGAGCGTGCGCTGACCTCCCAGGGGGGCCTGCTCCCTAGGCTGAGACCAGGCCCCCCACGGACCACAGGGAACCCAGGTGCAGGGGCCGCTAGCAAGGAGACTGCGGCTCCCCGGACTGCAGAGGAGGGGCGTGGCTGGGAGAGGGCAAGGGACTGGCCCAAGGTCACTGGGCGGCCCCCTGGCTTGGATCCCCTGCTGGGTGTGCACCGCGGGCTCCACACCTGCCCCAAGGAGCCGCCTGAACCTCCCCGGGGCCCTGCACCTGTGGGCTCTGGGGCTGGGGGCCACCAAAGGCACAAGGAGAAGAAAGTGAGGTGTGGGGCCCAGAGGTGGTAGGCACCCCCCTCACAGCCCCTGGGCCTGAGTGGAAGGCGGGTGGGCATGGCCCCCCCCAGAGTGACGGAGGGGCGGGCACTGGTCCCACATGTGTGTTTGCTGGTCAGCTCTGCGAGGGGCCTGCGCCCAGGCCCGGAGGAACCCCCAGTCTTGGTCACCCCCACGTAGTAACACTTGGGTTTGGGGAGTTTCGGTTAGTGTGACGACCACAGAAAAGTCTGCTTCAGCCTAATGCTCCCCCCAGACACCCTGATACCCTGCCTTTCTGACCTTCAACTGGGCAAACAACTTACTGAGCAAGTTCAGTATCGCCCCCCTCAGGGTCTGTGGGAAGAAGGGCTCACATGCCAGTGTCCAGGGGCCCAGGGGTCCCCTCACCCCCCGCCCGCCCCACCCGCACCTCCTCCACGATGTCCCCGTTCTCTGCGTGGACTTGGGCCAGGGCTCCCAGGTCCCGGATGATGCTGAGGATCTCGTACATCTGGGAAGAGAGGCCGTGTGGGGCTCGGTCTCTCCGACAGTGGCCGAGAGACGCCTGCTTGTCCCCTCCCCCGGGCGCCCGCCCTTACCTGGCCGTCGGTGCACTGGCACCTGTCCTTGTACGCCATGAAGACCAGGAAGGAGTTCACGCCTGGGGGAAGGCAGGGGGCTCAGCCTCCCGGCCTCGGGGGAGGCGGACCATGCCGGGGAGCGCCCTGTTCTGCTCCAGAGGCCCTGGGGCGGGGCGGCCCTCCCCCACAGCTGTCCTCCCAGCCGGCTTGGTGGCCCTGGGGCACTAGTGCCACATACACTCCCCAACAGGTGGCGACAGAGGACAGAGCCGGCCCAGCACCCCCATCCCTGCTCCTCATGCCCCAGGATCCGAGACCCATGGCTTCCCAGAGGCAAGTGCAGGTGAGACACTCACACCCCCCCAGCACCCCCTCGGCCCCCTCTAAGGTCATCTGATTTGGGTCAAGTCCGCTGTGAGACCTCGGTGTGGTTTTAGCCTCGGGACTTGTAGCCCTGGTGAGGAGCTGCCGGCTTCAGCGCACGAGGGCCTGAATGCCACCTCCTTCTGGAAGGGCCTCGATTTGCCAGGAACACAAACGGTGCATCGCCTTTGCCCACAACCGACCACAAGAGAACTGGGGTGACAGTGGCGGGTGCAGTAATGGGGACAGTTAGGAGAGACGTCCCTCAGACACGGGGGAAGGGGGCCCTCAATCTGGACCCTGTGGAAGTAGAGCAGACCCCCGAGGGACCCTTGTCCACCCCCCAAGGCCTTGCCACCAAGGCCCCAAGGCCGGGGTCGGAGGGCACAGCATCCAGCACTGCGGCGACCGGGGAGGGGCCTCCTGCAGAGACCAGCGAAGCTCAGGTGCCCCCCTGCCGGCCTCCGGCCCCCTGGCCCTGTGGGGTCGCTCACCCTTGTCCCGGACCAGGGCCTCCAGCTCCTCCCTGGTGCTCTCGTGCCAGCGGGGGACGTCCACGTGCAGTGAGTAGTCGCAGCAGGCCCCGCTGTCTGCGCGCTCCCGCCACTGCTCGTAGGCCGCCAGCAGGCTCACCCCCGCATCGGGGAACACGTGGTCCACTGTGGAGGCAGTGCGGTCAGCCGCGCCCGGCTTCCCGGTCCCGGGGAAAGACCGCAGCCTCGGAGGAGCCGTGTCCCCGAGGTCGCAGGCCCCTCCCTGGGCTCACCCTGCTGGAACCTGCCCGTCAGCTCCACCCAGAGGGGCACCAGCCCCACCTCCTCCACCCCCCTCTGGGTCCCACCCCTCGCTCCCCGATGCACAGATGCACATGTCACACCCCAGAGCACGAGCGGCAGCTCAGGGCCTTAACCCCCCCGCGGGCGCCCCTGGAGGTCAGGCAGGGAGGCACCACTGTCCACGGTGCCAGACTGGGAGCCTGGCCAGAGGCCCGTGTGGGGCTGGCTTCCCCGGGCCTCCCCAGCCGCACATGCCTTGGTCGGGGCCACCGAGCCCCTGCGGAATCGGCACCGCCCCCCTACCCACAACCTCACGTCCAATGTCCACACCCACTCACAGCCGCCCCTGTGAAGCAAAGCTCTTGGCGTGCAGGCGGCCCACAGGAAGGCGGCCGCCCCGGGGCGCCAGCAGGTGCCGGGCCGCCTGCAGCACAGCCGTCACGCGGGGCCCTATGTTCCCACGGCTTCGACGGTGAGGCCAGGACCTCTTGGCAGGGGTGCCCGTCCACCTGCAGGCCGGTCCAAGCGCCTGCCTGTTGCCGGCAGGTGGAGGAAGCAGATGGCCTGGCGGAAGCCAGCCATGCCGGCAGCCTCTCTCTGTCCCCGCGGTGGTACCTCCCAGCGTGTCTGATGCCTCGGCACTGGCACAAGCAGGTGACGTCAGGCACAAAGGTGTCCTGGCTGGCTGGGGCCACCAGAGACCGGCAGGAGCCGTGGCCAGACCTGACCTGGCTTCTGAGTCAAACTGGAAGGTGGACCATTGTCGGTTTCTTCACTTCGAGGCTGAGGAAACCAACCGAGCCCTGGTTCTGACCACGGCCAACCCTCCTGTGTGACGAGGCCCGCAGGTCTTGGTGGTCACCCAGCGCTGCCCGCACTCAGGCGCCCTTGTGCGCACAAACTCGCTGCCACCTCCTCCCGCTTCCCAGGCGAGGACCGTGTGACTTGTAAAAGCCAGCTGCTCCCTGAGGTCACGAGGCTAGACCGTGGCGGAGCAGGGTCCCGCCCTTGTGCGAGCCTGGGTCTCCAGCGTGGCAGACACATCTGTCCTCAGCGTCCAAGGCTGTAGGAGGGGCGGGGTCCGGCGTCTCGTCCGGCCGTCCTGTCCTGGCTCCTGAGCTCACTGAGAGCAGGTCCACTGTGCGAGGCGTCTGTCACACGGGACCTCACGAGGACCACACTTGAGCCGAAGGAGCTCATGCCCGGCACAGAGCCAGCTTAATGAAAAGGTGACTCTGGGGGCCGTCCACAGGATACCAGCTAAGTTTTTGCCATCCTTTTTCTGAAAACACGGTGTACGTCTTCAACTCTTCTCGACGGAGGCAGGAACTTGCTGCAACCCTGGCCTCTGAGGCGTGAGGTTCAGGAGCCAACAGTCCAGGCGACACACTGCTCGCTTGTCTGGAGCATCTGGGTCTCCAAACCTGGTCCTTGGCCAACGGCGGCCTCCCAGGGTAATAAACGACAGAGCACTCTCCCACGTGGCCCACGGAACCCCCGGAGCATCCCAGGGCTGGCCTCGTGAGTGACCAGCATGAGGGACGAGGTGACCAGGGAAGGCACTGCCGGGCTTCGTGACTCGGACACGACAGAGGGGAAATGGGACTGAGAACAACCCCCCACTCGAAACGCCCCCTGCGGCACACACACCAGCCAGGGCACCGCGGCGGGGACACTCACGTATCATGGTGGTCCCTCCCGCCAGGGCCGCCTTGGTGCCCTGGCAGAAGTCGTCGGCCGGGGCCATGCCCAGGACGGGCATCTGCAGCCTGGTGTGGACGTCCACTCCTCCCGGAAGGACCAGCAGGCCGTGGGCATCGATGGTCCTGATGCCCCCTGGGACAACGAGGTTCTCTCCGATCTGTCTGAACGCAGCAGAGAGGGAGGCCCCGGGTCCGGAGGAGCCCCGATCAGCCCTGAAATGGGCTCCCGGGCCTGTGGCAGAGCTGGGTGGGGGGGTGCATTCGGACTCCGGTCCTTGAGGAACAGGGTCACACGGCCAAGGCTCCCAGGACCCCAGAGACTGTCAGAGAGCAAGACGCCCAGCGAGGTGGCGTGGATGGATGATGCGGAGGACGCAGCCCTGTGTGCCACAGCCCTGGGGTGTCCACTGAGGGGACCACCTGCCCTTCCCCGACGGGCGGCTGGAGATGCTTCCCGCCACAGGCAGGTGTGGCCTGCAACTGTGAGTCCCGAGTCACACGAAGGCTGTGACGACGCAGGAAGTGTGGACACCATCGTCCTGATTTCGGAGACTCACAGCTAGCAGCTGGCGGTGGTCCCGCCACCCCACGCCAGGGCTACGGCTGCTGGCAGGGACGGGGGACAGAAAAGGGGACACAGGACGTGGATGCCACAGGACTGCATGTCCCCGATAGCACGCCATCGGCGTGCGCACTGCGACCTGTGAAGACGCCGTTGGCGGTAACTTACTTTATCAAACCGTCTTCCACGTAGAGGTCAGCGTGAAAGGACTGGTCATCATTCACGACCTTCCCGCCTCTGATCAGAAGGCGGTCACTCTGTTGCACACAAACAAAAAAAACGGGTGAGTTTTCTCCAGACTGAGTTATGTCTTTGGTACAGCATCTCCCTCTAGACTTGCGACGGAAACACTCGGGCGTCCCCTGTGCGTGTGTAACGCCAGAGAAAGGCCAGTGGCACTGACCATCGGAAAGGAGGGGGCAGCCCCGCCCACCTGAGGGCCTGGCGCCCACACAGCGCCCCCAGCACAGCCCCTCCAACCGCCAGCCCCTCCTAATCAGCAGATCCCTACAGCCCCCCTCCCACACTGGTCAGTACTGTGCCCCCTGCCAAGGTACAAGGATGAAGCTGGGAACTGGCTCTCACTTTGTTAAGAAAGAGCCAGCGTTAATGACAGCGTTGTGTCGAAATGGGCTGAAGTCTGTCACCCGACACGGCACCCAGGCTGAGGGCGGAGGCCCGCCCGCCCTCTGCGCTGGCCTGGCCCGAAGGGCTGCCCCTGTCTTCCAGCAGCCCCCCGTCCCACCCACTGCCTCAGAGAAATCACACACAGGGCCATCCAACCGTGACAGCACGAGAGGACAAAGAGGGTGACATGATGGATGATGGGGGAGGAGCGTGGCAGCTTGGGGACGGAGAAGGGCCTGTCTGAGGGGTCTGAGGGGCTGATGCCAGAGGCTGCACACCCGTGCAAAGGCCCTGCGGCAGGAAGAGCTTGAACTAACACAAAACACAGGAGGATACTGGGGGCTGGGAACTTCTGTGGGCCTGGTGAGCAGCCCAGGAGCTGGTGGGGGAGGGGCGCGCTGGGCTGCTGCCCTGGGTCCTCTGCAGGGATTAAGTGGGTCTGGCAAAGGTTTTGAAGAGACGGCTCTGCACGGAGCCTAGAAGCTGGGCTAGAAGGCCTAGAAGGTGGTTTCTGAGGCTGCCAGAGAGGAGGGGCCTGGGGCCAGGATCCCAGGGCTGCTGAGACGGGGCCCCAGAGAGGCTGCTGGTGAAGAGGCCACGGGGGTGAAGGTCCAGGAAGGTATCAGGCGATCACAGGGGCCAGTGAGGCCTGGAGGTGGGTGAACAAGGTGCCGGGAGCCAGGCCAGCTCTCCTGGGTCCCCCTGCAGCACAGAGCTGGGGCACTGGGCAGCCACAAACCCTTCCCAATGTCGGGACAAAGCGGGGTATGGTGCAATGGCTGTCAGGGTGATGGCTGGACCTCAAGGAGGGGAATGGGGAGGACAGAGTGCAGACCCATGGGGCCCAGGGCCCCAGTCTGCAGCACCGCACTACCCCCCACCACCTGGCCTGTGGGAAAGATGGCGCCACACAGAGGCCAGGCAGGAGCTCAGCCTGGGCTTCCAGCTCCTTACACTCCACCAGCCTGATGCCCAGAGAACCAGGCACTGCCCCCACCCCCGCCGTGGGTCTGAGCTCTGGGAGCCTCCCAGGTGGTAGACAGTCCAGGACTCGTGGGCTGGTGGACATTATTCCCTGTTCTCACTGACACCTAAGCGCCTTTTGGGTTCACAGGTAAAATCACCACTGGAGTCTAAAAGCCACAGGCAGCCCCTGCTTCTACAGCTGGAGAAGATAATTCTACAGTTTACATTGGCTAAATAACATCCAAAAAAATTCCACGCCTGGTAAAAGTGATATGAAATTCACATACCACCCCTCTCCCCACCTGGGAAGAGACTTGTGATCTGTGTGCCCCCCCCATCCAGGACTCTGACCCCCTTCCCGGTTTGGAACCCAGAGAGAAAGGCAGTCTGGATGGGGTGCAACACTCAGGATGGGGGCGACTTCCCTAAATCAGCTGCCTTGCCCCACACCTCCCTCTCGGAAAGGGTCTTCCTGCCACCCCCCCTTAAGCCCCACTCCTACCCACCCTCCTTCTCCAGCCGGTCAGCATCGGGGAGGGAGAGGGCTCCTTGCTCCTTGAGGGTCTCAGGAAGTGAGCTGGCAACCCCTCCGACCCTCCCCCACACACAGAGGCCCAGGCCCGAGCTGGGTCAGAAACCCTGCTGCTGGCCGCCCTGAGCCGTCCAGCTGGTGCCCTGTGCTTCCCTCCCTCCCTCCACCCGCTCCAGGCCGCTGCAGGAGTGGCTTTGTCTTCTGGCAGCGAAGGGTGGCAGGTCCGACCTCCCACACTGGTGCGAGTGGGTGTTAGGGGGGTCTCCTCCCCCCAAGGCTGGGGGTGTCCACTCTGCACCTAGTGAGCTTGCCTCCCTGTGGTCTCTGAACCCCGGATTCACAGAGGCGTTCGGTTTGGGCTGCCAGGGGCTCCCGCGAGCGAGCGGCCGGGCAGAATCGCATTGTCTCGGAGGGAACAAGAGCTCCGGGCACCGCGCTGCCTGGGGGGTGGGCGGCCCAAGGGCGGGCGCCCTGAGCGGTGGCTGAGCTGCGGGCCGTGGCTCCAACAAAGGGCTGAACCCAAGGTGAGAGTCCGAGGCGGGACCCACAGCTTCCCTCTGGCCACCCTGGGAGGGAGGCGCACCTGCGCTTTGGAGAGCAGGGCCTGGCCCGCGGCCTCCCCGGCCTGAGTAGGGGAGGTCCCAGGAAGCCAGCAGGGCCAGGGCCTGTGCGCTTGACTCCTTAAAGGGGTCGGGGCGGCGCTCGAGGAGACCCCCAGCCCGGGAAGGGCCGGAGTTCGGACAGAGGCTTGTGCGGCGCTGGACTCAGACAGCCGAGGGCTCTGGAGGGGGGAGGAGGCCAAGACAGTGGGCAGAGGGGGTCGGGAGAGCGGCTCACCGTGATCCGGGGGATGCTCTTCTTGCCTTGGAAGGACATTCTCCTCCTCCGGCGGGCCTAGCTTGGGGTCCGGGGCGGGGGCTGCTGGGGCCTTGCACGGGGACGCGGGGGTGCCGGTGTCAGAGCAGGAGCGCGCCACTCCTTGCAACCGCGTTCCAGGCCTCGCCCTGCGTGGACCACGCCCCCTAGCAAGCCCCTCCCTCAACAGGCCCCGCCCCCTGCCCGCAGCCTCTCATTTGCATTCCAGTTTCACGGCCAAGCTCAGTTCCCTCGGTCAAGGTGGTCGGTCAACTGGCGGCCCCAGGACCCAGCACTGGGCCCTGCCGAAACCCGATGCCCTGCGCGCGGACCCTGTGCCGCCCGCCCCTGCGAGGTGCGAACCTCGCCCCCCCCCCCCCGGGGGGAGGGTAGGAGAGGTCTGTGTCTTGCCAGGCTAGCCAAGACGCCACTGCCAATCCCCCGTGACCTGAGGTACACGGGGATGGAACCCCATGTCACGTTCAGGTCCAGGCGCTTGGGGAGCCCGACTCTGTCCAGAGGGCTCTGCGGCCAAAGCCGAGCTTCTTTGGGGACAACCCAGGTGGGGTCAGAGCGCTGGGCTGTACCCTGACCTGGGGGCAGGGCGGTGCAGACACCTCCCAGCGAGGTTGCCCCCTATCCGCTGCCCAGAGCTTGGGGACGAGAGGGGACAGGTTGGAGACACAAAGAAGGAAGAGACACGGAGATGGGGAGAGGCACAAACACAGCCGCCCAGAGCCCAGGATGGGCCAGCCCCCAGAACCTGGGCGCTAGAGGCCAAGACCTGGATGGAGCTGGGGGCTGGGCTGGGGGAGCAAGACGTGAAACGCAGAAGCCCCAGACGTGCGGGTGGGGAGAGGCCCCACCTCCAGGCCCGCTTCCCCTCGGAGGTGCTGGGGGAGGTGGGACGAGGATGCACTCAGGCCCAGCCCTCGCACGGGCACTGCTGTCCACAGCCTCTGCCCTGCGGCCACTACCTGCCCTGGGCCGCCAGCCTGGGCAGCGTAGGGCCACCCTGAAAGAGCTGCTGCAGCCGCCAGGCCGTCTCGCCCGGCTCTAGCGGGACCCTGGAGTGGCCACGTGGTCCGCTGTAAGGGATCTCTGGCCGAGGGCCCCCATGGCCGCCCAGCGCTTCCAGCTGCAGGATCTTGTTGTCAAAGGCGTGCTGCACACAGTGGAAGACCCTGCTGAGCTTGGGACCGAGGGCTGCCTGTGCCCAGCGTCCCCAGGAACGTGGGCAGAGGCTCCTGGGCTCTGGTGGCCAGTGTACAGCCACAGCAGGAGCAGAGAAGGGGCGGCGGCGGGTCCAGGCACTGCCTGCGGATGGGTGGACCTGGGCCTGGCGCTCGCCCTGTCTGCCCCAGTCCACCCCTATCCTTGTGGCGGCTGTGGCTGCAATGAGCTGACCTGGCCCCAGGGCGCGTTCTGTCCCAACCAGAGCAATCTGCCAGAGGGTCCCAACCAGAGGGTTCCCACCTGGCCCGCCAGCCACTGGGACCGCCGGGCACTGGAGAACCCGGGGTGCACAGAACCTGCAGCAGCGTGTCCTGACCCCCACTGCTGGGGCGGGGGGGGTCGGGGTGCGGGTCCCACCACAGGCTGGGAGGCTCTGACTCCAAACGTTTCCAAGTTTCCAAGGGGTTGGTGGGGCAGAGTGGGGGAGTGCGTGTGTGCCCTGAGAACGGTTCCTGGCCGCTGTCTGAGCCAAGTTCAAGGTTTGGGAGACAGCAGGCAGGCAGGGCACTCCTTGCTCGCCCAGGGCCGCAGGTCAGTCCTGTCAGTCCAGGGGGTCCTTCGGATTGTTTTTTAGGGGAAGATGCCCCAGCCCTCGAGTTCTGTGAGCACAGGCAGCGGCTCAAAGTGGAGTGCAGACTGCAAGTCACCGCAGGGCCCTGGAACCCCTGACCGAACCCCCGAGGGGCGTGGGCACCTCTCAGGGCTAAACTGGCGCTGCCCTTCCCCTCCCTGAAGCCACCAACAAAGCCTTTCACCCACCTGTACTCGAGGGTGGCCATGCCAGGCTGCTCCCAGGTGTTCGCGCTCCCCCGTGGAATTCTCCCGCTGCCCTGGGTCACCTGAGTGCCCTCTCCTGGCCCTCCTCTGACCACTGGCAGCAGCAGGCGGCCTGCCCAGTGCCCCCTGGGTGACTGGCTGTCCCCCAGTTGGGCAGCAGGCCCACGCTCCCTTCCTGGTGTGGGACGAGGCAGGGCTGTCCACCGTGGACCGGGACACGGAAGTGGCCAGCACAGCCCAGCTTCAATGCCTTGTGAGAAGAGCATTGCTGTTCTAAGATTAATAACAATTTTTATTAAAACTGTACAGTAACTTACAAATGAGTAAAAATTCTCTGGTGTGTGTATATATATGTATCATAGGAACTGCGGTACAAAAATACATGTAAAATGCTGTGGCCGACCGTCGCACAGACCTGCCCAAGGGCCGGGGAGCGCTGTTCAGCGCGGAGCGGACCACATGTTCAGCCCGTCACTGCGTTTTCCAGGGGACGCTGATGCCGGCGGCACGAAGCCGCGAGACGAAGTCCTACTTCGTTTTTTGCGTTAATTTACAATAAAGCTTTTAAAAATATACAGTAAACAAATACGGGATTTGATACACGTTTTACAACTCGATTCCCTGAGCCTAGAGAGAAGTTTGTCACTGTGTCGGGACACAGAGGCCACTCTCAGGTTCCGGTGACAGGGTGCTGGCAAACGCAGGCTGACGGGACAGTGCCCCAAGCCCAGTCCCACGCACCCTGCGTCCCGACGCCGGGTGGTGTGCGCCTGCGCCGGCCGTGTAAGGCACGCGGGGTGGCAGAGGGCTCGGGGTTCCACGTGGGCAGAGCACTTTACGGAAGTGCCAGTCTCTCAGCAGCGGGCACCCCGGACCGTGGACACGGGGTGCACACCCATCTGTGTCAGCAAGGGACACGGGTCTCTGTTCGGGGGGCACACACACGGTGAGACACAGGACAGCTGCAGACGTGCCAGCGGCCTGGTTACGCAGATGACGTTTGGGACAGCCTCTCAGGGCCCCCCCTCCTGGTCCACTGCGGCGCGAAGCTTTTCCACGCAGACTCTCTGCTGGAAGAGCCCACTGGCCTTGAGTCAAAGATGCTCGTGTTTAAAACACCCTAATTCTCCAGGTGCTCCCTCGACAGGCAGGTGCCAGTGACAGATGCTCACGTTTTGCATTTTTGTCCAGAGCTCGGTCCTGAAATGCTGGATTTGGGGATCAGATGGACCAGGTGCCTCTGACATGTGACCAAGAACCACGATGTCTAAAGGGGACAAGGGACACCACACCTCGGCGTGTGTGTCCAGGGGGGCAGCAGGGGCGCAGACGGTCGGTCGGTGCTCGGAAAGTCACCAGAACAGCCACTGCGCTGTTTTCTGGTTCCCACACTCACACCGCCCCCCCCAACTTCCTAACACCTTCACGAGCGTCGGGTGGTACTTCCGCGCCTCCTGCTCCCTGCAGTGCGCCCTTTCCAAGTGACAAGCTATGACTAAGGAGTGTCTGGGCTGGGTGGGTTGGCGTGCAAAGCCGTGAGGACACAAGGACACAGGGACGTGGCTTTGGGTTTCGAGTCCGTGCCTTTAGGCCCTGCACGGCCACCCACGTGGCTGCCACTCCTGCACAGGTGTGCACAATCCGCCCACCTGGGCCCCACGACCCTCACACTCGGACCGGCTCATCCGTACCTCGGTGGGGCCTCTCACCCACGCAGGACCGCTGCCGCCATCCTGCCTGAGCACAGCGAGTGCGCCAGGACGGCGCGGTCGGCAGGATGAGACACCACCCCACGGGGGATTTGTGACGTGAGAAGCCAACCCCCATGCCGGGCTCAGCCGGGAATGCCGTGCCCGCCCAGGTCTTGTCCCAGTGGGTGAGTCAGCGCAGCCTCCCGACAGCACAGCAGCTCCGGCACCGAGTGTGGCACCGACCCGTGGGTCCCTGCGATGCCCGGGGAGGGGGCCATGCCTGTCTAATCCTACAAACGTCCCCGACCTCAGCCAAGGGACTCCATCCGGCTGCCACCACCGGCGCACCCGAGTGGAACCTCTGTTCCGACACAGATGCAGACCGACCTGCCCGCTTCCAGACAGCACCGGCAGCCCTCAGGGACGCGGTGCCGGAGTTCCGTCCCCACACGGCAGCATGGCCAGCTGCCCCTTGTGCTGGCTTCTAGAAACGTCCTAAAGAGCTCCTTCCCACACACAGTCTTCTCACTGACACGTGTGTGCACGTGCACCATGTGCGCACATATACACAGCCCGCCACCCCTCCCCCCCGCAATTTCTTCAGCTCCGAGAGCAACAACCTCAGACCGTCCCAGCCGCTGTGAGGCCCACGAAGGTGCCGATGTCACAGTCGCAACGCATCCGAGCGTCGGGAGCCGCCCTGGGCTGTGGCCCCAAGCCCTTGGCCGGGAGGGAAATCACACTAAGACTGGCTTCGCCCACGTGCAGTCTCCTCTGGAAAAGAGTGAAAACAAAAGCTTTATTTTGGCACGAACCTCCCGGGCCCTGGTGGGGCCCCATGCACGGCCAGGAGGCTCTGGAGAAGCACCCTGGGGCCGCGTGCAAACCTCCGCCCCGGAGGTCCTGGGGTCCCAGAGAGGTGTCTGTGAGCCCCTCGAATGAAGCCACGCACAGAAGTGGCCTCGGTCTTCCTCCAACACCCGGGGCAGCTGCCCACGCCTCTGCCCCACATTCGCTTCTCTTCATTACACAGGAAATGGCGGTGGCAGCCAGGGACAGCCAGGAGGGGCCTTGTAACCAGGAGGGTGGGCCTAGAGCTCACCAGGAGTGACAGCAGGGTGGAGGTCAAAGGCGCAACCCCTGGGGTCACAGACACCGGACACCCCACAGGTTTCTCATCCAGAAGAGGCGGGGAGCACGTTGTGGGCTGCTGTGGTTTTGGCACCTTTGCCTACTTTCTAAGTAAGCAGCCGTCCCCCCAGGGGAGCCCCGCGGACAGATGACTGCCCGGGGCCGTCCTGGTGAGGACGGCCACCAGCCACCAAACCTCCCTCTTCGCTGATGACAGCGGGGCTGCGGCGGCGTTTTTACACTGAGCTGCACTGTGAGTGGGTGGTCAAGCGCAGGAACACGCTGAAAGCCAAAGCCACAGACTGGGCTCATTCCACAGCACCAGGGCAGACAGAGGAGGGGTGGCCGGCAGCCAGGAGGGTCACTGTGGCCCCCCGCCCGGCAGGCACACGGACGGCAGGGCCTCACTGAGCCGTGGACCCAGCACGCCCATCGGCCCCACGCAAATGGGTCAGGAAGCGACGCTCTTGTTTTCTGTCGAAACAGAGCCTGGGACAGGCCCTGCCGCCTGCGTTCCTGGTGGCCCCCTACCCAGTGTGCGCGGGACACACGGCTGCCCCATCTGATTGGGCACGAGCCGTCCTCCCAGGGGGGAGGGCCCGGCGACCTCACTGGGTGTTCCACAATTGCACGTGACACAGGGTGCGCCGGCTGGGGTCCAGGTGGCTGAGACCTTTGTCCTCTGCCCCCAAATGCCACCCCTACTTCCCGTGTCCCAGACCCCCCGGATATCCCACCGTTACACTTATCACTGGCTCCTAGGACGACAGACGGAGGCTGAAACACCTTCCCATGTAGCTGTGTCTCTGGGACACCGCAGCTGAGCGTTTTCAAACCCAACAGAAACAAGTGGGAGTGACAGGGTCTGCGGGGGCGAGCTGCCCGCCCGGCCCCACACACTGGGACAGGAGCACTGCCCCCGAAAAGGACCCACGTTCCAGCGGGGCTGCCCTGGGCTGAGCCCAGTCAGATGGGGCGGAACCCAGCCCTGGGCAGGAGAGGGTGAGGGCCCCAACCCCCCGGGTGCCCCATGGCCGTGTGGCGGGGCCTCACCTGCTCACCACCTCCTGTCCGGCTCTCCTCACCCTCCCAGGTGCACGGCCGCCCTTGAGTGTGAAGGGCAGAGTCCAGACTGGGCAGCTGCGGCCACACTCGGCTCCCCACAGCCCGCAGGCCTCGAGCGGGGGCGACAGACCCTTGGCGGGGTCTGGGCTGCACGGCTGGGGTGCCTCCTGGGTGTCGGAGGTCAGGCTGCTTTGCAGGTGGCCGTCCCCGTCTCATCCTGCCTCTTGTCCTCGTCATCGTGCTCTGTTCTGCCCGGCTCCTGGCCACGGTGAAGGCATAGGGCGGCAACCGCGCTCCCATCTGCGCCCATGGTGACAGCGTCACAGACAAGGGGTCACTCTGGCGTGTCCATCAGTAGGTGTTTGGGACCCCAGCGAGTGAGTCACAGCGTCACCTCACCACCTGCGGTGGCCCAGGGAGACCCTACTCATGATGTCTGAGGATCCCTTCTGATTTCCCTGAAGCAGGTCACCATGACGGCCATGGCCTCCATCCTGTCATTTTATGGGGCACCGACATTTTTCTGAGGATCTTCTTCCAAGACTGGGTGTGCGACAGCCACGTGGGGAACCAGGCAGGGTGGACGTGCAGGCTCGGGGGCGGGATTGGGGGGCTGCGCCCCAAGGAGCCTGGCGTCCAACAGCCAAGACCAGGCCTCTTCCAGAGGAGCCCAGTCGGGAAAGGAGCCCTCCGGCCCATCGAGGTGACAGCCAGCCGCTCAAGCCCAACCCCTGCCTCTCCCCCGACAGGAGGGGTCCGCAGAGGCCGGACCCTCCTGTATCTTCAGGGATGACACGGGCTGTCTCGTCTGGCCACCTGGGCTGCCGCTGCTCTCTGGTCCGGCTGGAGGCACAGGGTCCGGCTCCGCTGGGGGCTGGGAGGACAGAAACAAGGACCATGATGGAGGCGGCTTGACCCTGGGGAAGGGGCTGCAGGGGGAGGCCCTGGGGGGAGGGCGGCCGCTGCTCCAGGGGAAGGGCCCTCTTGGGCACCCTGTGAGGGGTGGGGGCCTCGCACAGGGACCCACTGTGTTGTTTCGGGAGGAGGTGGGGCCTGGGTCTAAGAGCCGGCTGGTCCGGGAAGCTGGCCCCTCCGGCCGCACCTCCCTCACTCGCCCAGCTTGTGCCCGACACCACGGGGAGAGGACACAGACCAGGAGACTGGCCTCCGCCGGCATCTTGGGCATTTGGGGCGCACAGCCCCCCACTGCGGTGGCACCGGGTCCTGCCCGCCTCCCTCGGCGAGGAAGGCAAGCGCCCATGTGCCCCCGTGACAGCAGCCCTGCTGAACCCCACGGGCTGAGCACCCTGGGGACGTGCCAGGCGGCTGCAGAGCAGGGCGCTCGCCCCAGAACGGCAGCCGCCGACATACTCACCACGTCAGGGCACCCGGGCGAGCTAAGACCAGAGAATGAAAGCTAAGGAGAAAAATAAGAACAAAAATAGAAACTGAAAAGGAAGGGGAGGGGGGATGGAGGGAAAGAAAGAGAAAAGAGAGTTTGTAGTACTTCTGGCAACAAAAGAACGGGACGGGGGTCGCCGGGGCTCGGGGGCCATGCTGGGGGCTGGCGTCCGGCGGTTTAAGGGCTGCACCTCCAGGGCTGTGGGGACCCCGCGCCTGAGTGACGGTGCTGCTGCCACACAGAGACATGCCGAGGGGCCTCGCACTGGCTGGGGGCAGAGCTGGGGGGACAGGAGGCCAGCCGGTGTGTCCCAGCGTTTGCAAGCCTTGGCCGGCCACCTCGCCTCTCAGGGGGCTCAGTTTCGTCCTCTGGGCGGTGGACCGGCCACGTGGACAGCCACCAGAGCTGACAGTGACAGTGGTCATGGGCCAGTAACACCGAGGGGCCCTGTGGAAGCCGGGCACCCCGCACTCCTGACAGCCCCGCCACAAGTGACAAAGTGCCAGCGATGTCCTGAGTATGCTTCACACTGGGAACGGCGCGTGGGGCTGGGGGAGGGCCCAGGGCAACTCAGACCCAAGAGGGTCTGGCCTTGAACCAACTGCTTGGAAACCCAGAGCTACTTCAGCTGGATTAACAGAACGAACGAAGATTCCAGTATTTAATCCCGACAGGCGCTCTTTAAGAAGCAGAGGGCGCAGATGTCCCTTGGGGGAGCGGAGACTGCACCCCCAGCGAGGCTGGAGCCCCGAGCACAGAGTCCCCCTTGGTGTCCGGTGAACACTCCAAGGGTAAACCCCTGTTTGCCTGATGCCAGTTTGGAAGCTGCACCCTGAGTGGCTCTAGGGGCTGGTCTTGGGCACAGTGGGTCTCGTTACCGTGACCACTGCTTGGTGGAAGCAGGTGTGGTTGGCAGGAGAGGTGGGCGGGGGGGACAGGACCCTCGGTCTGGCCCTCTGTCAGGACGCATGCCACCCACAGCGAGGGAGCCCCGTCCACCCCCAGCCTCCTGCTGTCCACAGGGGGCACACAGGGTGGTGGTCCGACTGGCTTCTTCCCTCAGCACTCAGTGGGGGGCTGGTCACGGCAGGAGATCCCCCAGGCAGGGCTGACCACAAGATCCCATCGCTTCTGGTCATTAGAGATCACTGACCTGTCCCTAAATTCTGGGGGGGTAAAAGTGCCCTAAGCTAAGCAAACCCCTCAGAAAGAGTCAGGGTTCTCTGGGCTGCTCTGTGCGGCCGGTCCAGGGGACACCAAGTCGCACTATCACCCTGTGTGGCCCAACTGCCCGCGACCCATGCCTCCCGGGCCGGGGTCCAGAAGAAGGGCCTGCCCCAAGCCCCCAGCGGCATGGCCACCAGCAGCGTTTCCTGACCCTGCAGGCAACCGGGCGGAGGACCAGGACCAAGAGTCCCGTACGGGGAGGACGGCCCGTCCTTGGGGACTCAGGAAAACCAAATGCTCCCGCACGTTGTCAGGGAGCTGGGGCGACCGGTCCCGCCCCCCCGCTACGACTGCAGAAACTGAGGCCTCTAGAGACGTGGACCCCAAACCCAGGCTCCTGGCCCAGAGCTGCCAGGGCCCTGGGGCCCGTGTGTGTCCTCGTGAGCCGGACCTCAGACCCAGCCAGCACTCGATGACACGCCCATGACCCACTGGTCCTTCTCGGTTTGTGATGCTCCAGTAGCAAAGCAGCCCCGACAGCCGTGCTCACTGTACCTTTTCCTCCAGTTCCTTTATTTGTCTCTTCTGGGCTTCTATTCTTTCTTCTAACTCTTTAATTCTCTGCAACATTAAAAGGAAGAAAGTCTCCAATGATCAGAGTGTTGGGGAAAAGCCTCTCAGGACGTCACTCGGGGCTTGTGCACGCACGGCCACGGAGCAGCCTCCTGGTCGTGGGCCCTAGCGGGCTGCTGACCAGGGCCTGTCTGCAAATCTGGTCTGCGCCGCGAGGCCTGGAGCCTCAGCCGGTCACCTGTGCAGCGTCTGGGATGGGGCGGGTCTGCTGGCCCTGACCACCCAGGACACAGCTGTCCCCTTGAGGCTGTGCTCAACCTTCCTTCAGGCCCCCCTCCCACCTCCTGCAGCTCTAGACCAACAACCGTGATGCCAGACACCCAGGAAACGGGAGGGGTCAAGCGTCACGGACTGAAGCCCCCTGGTGGGCGATGCCCACTCCATGCCAATCTGCGGTGCCCACAGTGCCTGGGGGGCCCATCCTGGGCCCCGGGGTGGCAACGCTCTGACGGCAGCCTGCCTGGCAGGTGCGGGGCTGCAGATGACAGTGTTCACACTGACCACCCCGGACCCCGGGCTGAGGGTCCTGGCAGCTGGGAGCCCTCTGCTCGGACATCAGTCCCCAAGAGCCTGAGCAGGTTCCACATCCATGGTCCTCCCAGGTCACACAGGGATGCACAGAAGAGGGGAGGCGTGTCTTCCAAGCCACGCCCTCTAGAATGCCAGCGTCCCTCACGCCCCGCCCCATTAGAAAGGGACCAGCTGGAAGAGACCAGAGGCTGCTCCCCAACCCATGAGCTGCTGCTTGCCAGATGGCACTCTCACCACACCCTTACCCGGTGGTCAGGGGTCCCAGGGGAAGGGACGTGCACCGAGAGCCCAGGATATTGTGGCCCAGGAGGCTGGTCTGGAGGAGCAGACAGCCAGGCAAAAGGGTCCGCCCAAGGGTGTGGCCATGGAAGGGTGTGGTTATTGGGGTGTGGCTACTAGATAGCATGTTCCTGGCATCACCCCCTTGGCCCCCCTCACACCTGCACCTGCTGTGCCAGCTGCAGCAGCTCCATGTGCTCCCCTCCCCCCTCACACCTGCTGTGCCAGCTGCAGCAGCTCCATGTGCTCCCCTGCCCCCCTCACACCTGCTGTGCCAGCTGCAGCAGCTCCATGTGCTCCCCTCCCCCCTCACACCTGCTGTGCCAGCTGCAGCAGCTCCATGTGCTCCCCTGCCCCCCTCACACCTGCTGTGCCAGCTGCAGCAGCTCCATGCGCTCCCGCAGGATCTGGGCGTCCCGTTCCCGCAGCTCGCTCATGACCTGGCGCTTCCACTGCTCCACGGCCACCCTGAGCTTCTCCTGCTCCTCCTCCGACAGCAGCTCAGCCACCTTGGCCCCTGCCTCCTGCTGCAGCGCGTCGAACAGCATGGCCTCCAGCTCCAGGATATGCTGGGCGGGAGGGCAGAGGTCAACCTTCGAGCTGGGGGCTGGGCACCCCGTCCCTCGGGGTCACGTCTCCGGGCCCCCGTAGGGAGAGCACTCCTTCCTCCCACACTGGCTGCTGTGACAGGCGAGCACGGACACCGGGTCCTCCACACGACTTGCACTGTTGGGAAAGCCCAGTCGGCAGACACGGGAGCCCAGAGGGGCGCAGCCCGCGGGGTCCTCAGGGAGAGAGCAGCAGAGGGAAGGCCTCTTCCTTGGCTCACACGCTGTCAGACACGGCTCTGGGAGCCCCAGGGAAGGAGGCGGACGGCGCTCCCAGGGCGTGGATCGGTAAGGATGGAGCGGCACATGCTCAACTCCCCAGCCCAGGCCAGGCCCGTCATCCTCCCTGCCACTTGTGGTGGGGCAGACTGTGTCCCCACAAAGATTCACTCAAGTCCCTCCCACACTGAGTGGGGGGGGCGCTGAGTGTCGCCCTGGCACTGGGGAGCAGACACGGGGCACACCCACCCCTGAGGGGTCACTGCATCCTTGGGGAGGCAGGACTGGGTGTTGGGGTTGCCCAGGTCAGACAGTTTGCCCCTCTGGCCACGGCGCCACCCAGCCCAGCGCCCGGAGCCCTGGGCCAGCTCTGCGCAGGGGCCTCTGCGGGCAGACGGCCTCCCCAGGGACCCAGGAGAAGGGTGGCTGTTAGGGGCCACCACAGTCACCACGGGCCTCGGGGGAGGGCCTGGAGCCCCCCCAATTGCCCTCAGTAAAAGACCAGGAGGAACAGAGAGGCTGGCCCGCCTGAGTGGCAGCCGGGCCCCTGGGCCCCAGGTCAGGGCTGATGCGAGAGGCCAAGGGTAAGGAAGGGCTGCGCTGTGAGCCGAGTGGCCCACGGAGAGGATATGGAGACCAGGAAAGACCAGAGTGGGGTGCGCCTCACCCCTCGGCTGCCTCCCCAAATCCTGTCGTGACTGAGAACGCGCTGTGGGCCAGCGCAAACCGGCCCCAACGTACCTCACCCCCGAATACTTGTCCTGTTACCAATGCCCAAGGGTTCAGCCATTTGATCTGGGGGACTTGAAAAAATTTTCCTCTGGAAAATCATCATGCACGCAATCTTTGAAAAAACCAAATTCTCAAACTACAGAAACCCATCTTCCCATAAAAAATGTAACACCTTCAGCCCTGGCTGGTGTGGCTCAGTGGACTGGGCATCAGCCTGGGAACCAAAGAGTCGTCAGTTTGATTCCCAGTCAGGGCACATGCCTGGGTTGCAGGCCAGGTCCCCAGTAGGGGATGCATGAGAGGCAACCACACACTAATGTTTCTCTCCCTCTCTTCTCCCCTCCCCTCCCCTCTTTAAAAATAAAATCTTTAAAAAATGTAACACCTTCAAAAATGAATGTTTACATTTCTTTAGGCAAAATAATTACAAAAAGTCCTTTAGGCTGAGCAGAAGTTCTAAGAAATGGGTAAAAAATAAGCACCCCACTTTGGCCCTCACTCATGGCATTGCTCCTGACAGCCACAGAATGCACTGTCCCCAGCTGCCACCGCAGCTTGCACGGCCCGTGGACGGTCCCTTCTCAGGACACGCTGCACGGAGGAGATGCCCGTGCGGACACAGACGCAGCTGAGTGCGGGGCTCAGGGTCCGCACCACGGGAACCTGGGGGGGGGGCCTGGCCATCACCTCCCTGCACGCACAAGCACGGGCCACCTGTGGGACGTCTCTCCTCCTCTCCTGTCAGCCAGGCAGGGGGACCGGCACCGCTATGCACCAGGAGGGGCCGATAATCAGTCCCAGACCCCGTGCCTGCCTCTAGCCAGTTCTGGGCCACCTCGCCAGGGCCATGGGATGGCGCCTCCTGAACTAAACGCGACAGGCGCTGACTGCGTGGGGGGGCGACGGCACACGGCCTCAGACTGCATGCAGGGTGATAGCGGTGGACAGGGTGACCGCCTGCTGGAGAAGGGGTGGGCTTCACTCCTGCAGGAAGCCTGGGGGTCCCTGTGGGGGCGCTGCAGGGGCAGGTGCATGAGCTCGTCTGGAGGTGGGCGTGAGGTGACCCCAGTGAACAGTGCTACTGACACCTCACTGTTTCCACTCACTTTGCAAGTGAGTCCTGGCTCTGGGACTATCTCATTGACTCACGTCCAATGTCCCTGCGACTCTGCTCTGGGGTCTGAGTTCACCGGGCAAAGCGCTTAGTGATGGGCAGCCAGCGCAGCCGAGCAGTCGCTGGGCAAGGGGGTGCCAGAGGGACAGAGGCAGGCAGCGACCCCGGACCGGGCTCACGGGCCCAGGCCCTTCCAGGGCAGGGGTCGAGGCCTGGCCCCACTGGCGTGGGACCCGCTTTCCCCATTTCCACCCCCCTCTCCTGCAGGGGTGCCCCAGCCACACGTCCCTCACCTTGTGGGCCTGGTCCAGCGCCTGCTTGCGGAAGTCCAGCTCCTCGTCCAGGTAGCCCTTCTGCTTACTGAACAGCTCCTGTGACAAGAGAGAACCCTTGTCCAGGACCCGTGTCGTGGCCTTGGGCCGGCCCGCTGCTGCCACGGGGCAGGCTGCACGCCAGGACGCCCACCGACCTTCTCGCTCTCCAGGTCGGTCATCTTCCGCTGCAGGGCTGCCTCGGTCTCTTCAATCTGCTGGAGCCACTGGACACAAACAGAACAGGTGACTGTGACCCCCGGGGGCCATCGCACCTCCCGCTCCATGGAGACAGTCTAGGGAAGGAAGGAGGCCCCTGTGTCCCCCCCACTCCTCCTCCCGGAGGGAAGAGCCCCTCTCTTGCAGGGAGATGGGCTGGGCTGGCACCGTGGTCTCCACGATGACCCTGTGACAAAGACGCAGGCCACGTCCAGGCTCCAGCCCACAGCCGGCCTGGTCTCCAGTGAGCGTGCCCTCAGCCCTCCCCCCCGGGACAGGAAGGATGTCAGTGGAGGGCAGCGGGAGCACGTGTCCCTGAGAGCTTGGCCGGGAGATGCAGGAGGGGCGCCGCTCCTCCTGTCCTGGCCCCTGCACCTCCTACTTGCTGGACGCCCCTCCTTGCTGGAGGCCCACAGGTGGGTGCGCTCACAGCCAGTATGAGGTGCGCTGGGCAGGCGGGGACTGCGTGTGGGACGGGGGCAGGGAAGCTGGGGCGTGGGGCGCCCAGGCAGGCTGGGCGGCCCCAGAGGAGGGTCTCGGCAGGTCAGACGGGATGCTGACAGTTTCAGAGGCCCGCCGCACCCCCTGGCTTTTGGGGGGAAATCGGGGCAGAGCTGGCTCACTGTCACCTGCAAACATGCAGGGTGGGTGCTTTTCCACCTCGGCCTGTGTCAGACCCCCAAGGCCAACGGGGTCAGAGACACCCCGCACCCCACCTCCCTCCTCCCAGGGAGAGAGTGTTCTCAGAGCTGAACCCCGAGAGGGAGACCTACTGAGAGCACAGCCCCTTCCGGGAGCATCCACTCCTGTTACCTTTTCAGCCAAGGTCAAGACTGTCCTGGCTTGTATGACGACCACTTGCTCTTCATTGGTCAGATTCTGCGTCCAAAAGCAGAATACACATGGAGTCAGGGGCGGGGCCCTCCGGGGCAGCTGGGATGAATGAGGGGTGCATGGTGGGACTGAAGGGGGGGGTGCACAGTGAGACAGAACGGTGGGTGTTTGGTGGGGCTGACCGAACGAATGCAGGGTGGGGGCCGGGGCTACAATTAAGAACGCTTTTGCTAACACAGCCTCCTGGGCGTCTTTGGTGCCCTCCTCTCCTGACCCTATGCACTCTGGTGCATTCTCCTGTTTGTCCCCTTTCGTCCCCTCACTGTGGCACCCATGGTGGTCCAAGCAAGCACCCCCGAGGCAAGATGGGACTGGTGGGCCTCGCACCAGGCGGGCAGGCGGCAGCAACACACCTCTGCCCTGTGCTCCACGCCTGCTCTTCTTGGCGCACAGACCGCGAGTTATGAAAACGCCACACACAGATGGGGAGCGAAGACCAAACGCGCTTGCGCGGAAATGGTCCCCGCCCCTGGGGTTCCTGCCTCTTTTCTGCTTGGTTTAGTCGAATCTTGTTCCAAGGAGCCCACCTGGGTGGTCCCTCCGGGCGGGTGGGCTGGCTCTGGGGCCAGTGAGCATCTCGGGGGGCATGAGTACGTGCCGTAGAGGGCCACTCAGGCCACCTCTGTCCGTGTCGGGGCGGGAGCTGGGCATCCACAGCCCCGCTGCGGGGAGAGTGCCCTGAGGGTGGGGTCTCTTGCCACCCGATACCCATGCAGTCAGCACAGGGTGGGGGCTGGTGACCAACTGCTGCAGGCACAGAGGCAAGCTCTGTCCACGGGGGGATGTGATGCTGTACCCCCAACTTGGGCATGGTGCTGAGAGCAGGCCAGGAGCCCCGTACTCCTCCGCTCTCAGGGGAGCCAGCCGGCCGGGCCGTGTCAGTGCCTGTGTTTGGGTGTGTGTGTAGTTCCATGCATTTGTTTCTGTTTTCCTCCACCTGCCGTGGGAAGCGCACCCATCTGACTGTGGGCCTCACTCGGCCTCGAGCACAGCGGCGGGGACGGGGAGCCCCAGGCACCTTTGGACAGCTGTCGACCTTGTGTTTGTCAGTGACCTTGGGAGAAGCCCTGGGCTGTGCAGTGGGGCTGCCATGCACCCAGTAGGCAGGGGACTCAACAAGCGCAGGGTGACGCATGGAGGTTGGGTGGGAGGTGGATGAACAGATGGATGGAGAATAAAGGACGCACGGATGGAGGAGGATGGAGGCGGCTAAGCAGGGATGGATGGAGGAGGATAGAGGATAATGGAGGACGGACGGGTAGATGGATGGACGATGGATGGATGATAGGTGGATGGGTAGATGGATGGGTAGATGGATGGGTGGATGATGGATGCGTAGGTGGATAGAAGACAGACTGACACACAGAGGATGGACAGATGGATGATGGATGGGTGGATGATGGGTGGATGATGGATGGATGGATGGATGGATGGATGGATGGATGGGTGGATGGGTGGATGGGTGGATGATGGGTGGATGATGGATGCATAGGTGGATGGAAGACAGACTGACACACAGAGGATGGACGGATGGATGATGGATGGATGGACGGATGGATGGATGGATGGGTGGATGATGGCTGGGTAGACGGATGGAAGGTAGCTTGATGGACAGAGGACGGTGTGAAGGGCTGTAGTCCCTTTGTCCCCCTAGTAATTAGGATTCCTTCTGGGAGTTTGCTGATGAAAGTGGAACTCTGCCCTCAGTGAGACTTGAGGATTATTCTGGGCTCTGCCCGCCTCTCGAACAGGCAGTGAGACCCCCAGTCTGGAGTGTCTAAGCCCCCCCACAGAGCTGCAGCCCTCTCCCAGTGAGGGTCCGGAAGAGTTAAAGATTTCAGGAATGAAGAACGTGAGGACGGAAGTTCCCCTGCTGGGGTCCTGGGTATGGGCCCCACCCTAGCCGAGCAGAGGCACCGAACCCCCAAAATTCTGGGTGCTGGTCACCACCCACACGGACACAGGAGCAATGTAAGAAAGGAAGAGAATTTCTCCCAAATGCCTGCCACGCATCTCCAGCAGCTCTGGCCACAGGGAGGGGGTGGCTGGCAGGGCAGCTGGTGGCAGGGCCACCGTGGGACTCACAGGGGCCCCGGAGCACGGAGGGGCTGGGGCCTCGGGGCGGTCGGCGTGAGGAGGCATGCACAAGTCAGGAGAGCGACATACACTTACGGCGTTGTCCCCCAAGATGTCCAGCTTCTTCATCAGCTCTGTGACCAGGATGTCCTGGAGGCAAAGACAGGAGGGACACACGGGAGGTGAGCGCCAGCCGGGGGGGGGGGGGGGGCACAGGTGGGGCACGGCTGGGGCCGGGGTTACCGTCACGCCTTCCGCCTCGCAGTACGCTTGCAGGGGGCTCTTGCCGTCTGCGAAGGGGGTGTGGTGGAAGTTGATGGCAGGCGAGTTCCTCTCCCGCTCCTAGACAGAGAGCAAGGCTGGGCCCGGGCCCTCCTGCCTCCCGCTCCATGGGGGCTGGGGACGGGCCAGGGAACACAGGGATGCCACGGAGGCCACCAAACGTGATCGACACGGCCTGTGTAAAGGAGGCCCCGCCATGGTGCTGGCTGAACCTTCACGGGACTTGTCTGAGAAGACGACCCCTGTGCGCTCCCACGGGCCTCAGGACACTCGCTCCCCCACCACAGACCCCGAGGTCCCCCGTGGGCCTACACCCCATGTTCCCCACAGGCCTGACAGGAGCAAGACCCCAGGACAGTGGCAGGTATGGCCACGTCGTCATGTAGGACACGGGGTGGGAGCCCTGGAGGCCGAGGGGATGGTCACACGCAGGGGCAGTGGCACAGCCTCCCTGCCACCGCAGGGAGGCGGGTGGGGAGACCCCGGGGGGCAACTCCATCTGGACTCAACCTGCTTCCTCGGTGGGCAGTGGGGACCCAGGCCCCCACCTCAGGGGTGCAGAGGTGCCAGAAAACAAGACAGTGGGGACAGGGGCTCAGAGAAACACAGTGAAGACAGACAGCAGTGACTACAAGGGCGGGGTCATCCTGCCAGTGGGGTCACGGCCTCCTGGTTGCCAGGTGTCCTGAAGGTGGCCAGGACCCAAAGGGAGGCCATGAGCCTTGCAGAGAAGAGTGGCTGGTGGCAGGTGAACAGCCACAAGGACAGCCTTTACCTCCTCCTCCCCCTGATGGCGGCCAAGGTCCCCACGGAGGGTGAGGGCTGGACCACTGCGTCCGGTTCCCGCACAGCACCTCAGATGCAGAGATGCACCCCCCCCCACGCCTCCTGGGGCCGTGCGCCAGCAAAGCCGAGTGAAGGCAGGCCCACTGGCTCCGAGGGTGGCCACGCCCGGCGCCTCTGCGCCCGCCAAGCCGCGCACACCTCCAGCTCCAGGATCCGGAACTCCAGCAGCTCGTTCTGGTCTTTCGCATCCTGGACCTCAAGTTTCAGCCGAGCCTCTTGCGCCTCCATCTGTTTAATCTGTAAAATAAAAGAGGGAGGGGACACCAGAGGTCACGTGAGGTCATCTCCCTGGTTCTCTCTGTGGGGACAGAGACCTGTGGGGTGCCTGGCCCAGGTGGCTCCACCCTACTGGGCCTGGCTGAGCCCTACCCCTTGGCTAATCTGGGGGGGCACTTTGAGGACAGGTGCACGGGGGCCAGGAGAGAGGGGTCCACCCAGGACAGAGGAAGGAAGGCGTGGCCATGACCCCCGCCCCGCCCTGGCCAGGGCTGCACTCCTGGACCCCAGGCTGGTCCAGGGTGGGAGAGGCACTGTTCATGGGGCCATGTGCTCTGGCTGCCAGGCCGCCCTCCAGAACCGGCCTCACTGATTCAGGGGCAGTTTGCACATCGGGTTTAACAAGCGGACCTGCCCCGCGGCCACGCCTTCCAAAGGTGCTCCCGACTCAGCCTCCAGTGCCCTCACAAGGACAGGAAAACGCAGTGGGCAATACCCGCTGGGGGCAGACGGCGGGTCCCACACCCCAGCTGAACCTGAGGGGCTGTCCCGAGTACAAGGGATGGGTCTGAAGGACTCAGCAGCGTCTGACTGACACGCGGCCCACGGCCTGCGGCCCCCTGAGCCGTGAGCCCCTCCCTGAGCCAGGCCCAAGCTCGGAGGTTTTCTAACCGTCACCAACCACAGCCGGGCCAGACACAGTTGGGAAGCTGCTGTACACTCTGGGCTCCACCCGGCCGGGTGCCTCCGCCCTGGGATGGACGGGCAACCACAGCCGTGGGCAGCACAGAAGGCCTCTGGGTAGGGCCGCAGTGACCCACACCCCTGCAGGAGCCCAGGGCGACGGTGCTTTCCCCGGGGAGCCGCCAGACTCTCAGACGAACCGGGCGCACCTTTTCGATAAGCTCTTGGTTCCTCCGATACAGGGCTTGCTTCTCTTCGATCCACTTCATGTCCTTGAGGATGGAGTGGAAATGGAGAGGTAAGTGCACTGTAGGGTTCAATCACCGTCTTGCAGAACAGAGGGCTCCACAGAAGGACCCGATGCCCAGCTTCTGAACAACCCCTGTTCCTGGGCCTCCTGGGTGGAGAGCGGGGGCAGCCCCACTCTGGTCGGACCCCAGGCAGGCCCCCCGGGACACGCCCACCTGCCCCTGCTCTGCCAGCGCCCTCTCCAGGTCCTCGATCCGCGCCTGCGCCCTCTGCACATCAGCTTGCAGCTGCTCACGGGTCTGTGGATGGGAGCGGAGAGACATCAAATTTTCCCTAAGAGCCAGGACGTGCCCACGATGACGGGGAATCTGAGGACAGCGTGTCTGTGGAGAATGGGCAGTCGGCGGCTTTGCAAGGATGCTCTGAGGCAAGGACGGACCCCAGGGCTGACCAGAAGCGAGCAACCCTGCTTGATGGTGGGAGGACCCCTGATTCGTCCCAAGGGGCTGTTGGGCACCCTCCTTTTGGGGTGAAACAGCCAACGGGACCTGGCCTGCTGGGTGCCCGCTGGGACTCTTTCCAGCCGCTGTGATGGGGATGGCCCGGCACAAACGGGCTCGAACAGCGGCCCCCCGACGGTGAGCTCCCTTCCGCCCTGGCACCCTCTGCCTGCCCTGGGCTCCCCACTTTGCTGGGCGTGTCCCTTGTTTGTAAAAGCAGCCCCCTAAGTGCCCCGTGGGCCTCCGGGGTCCTGGCCACCTCCAGTGAGTTAGCTCCCTTTGGGGTCTAAACCACGGGGTGCTTTGCCCTGATGGACGCGCCTGACCCCACTCCCACCCTGGGAATGGCTTCCCGGGCAAATGGATGAGAGCATCTGGGACCAGTGGGGCACAGGGCCTGGGGTCCCCCAACTCAGGGGGTGTCCGATCCGCCTCCCCCGGCACACGCCCGCCTCCTCTAACGACGGCAGGAAGGGAGGTGAAGCGTTTGGGGAGAACCCCGGGGGGGAGACCGGATTCTTGTTAGTCCTCGCCCCCATTTTCAGGTTGGGGGGGCAGTGTAAGCCGAGGTCCTGGTGCAGGACCAGCAGCAGAAGGGCCATCCCGGCCCACCCCCGCTGCCCAGCGCCCCTGATTGGTGTGGAAGGTGGCAGGGGTGGCCCGCCAACCAAGTCTGCCTGCGAGAGAACGGCCCTTCGGACACGTCACTTTCCAGGCAGAGACCTCGAGGCTGAACCATCTGCTTGTTTTCGTGCGGCCCCGACACAGGTGTCTGCGGGGCCCAACAGGACAGACAGACAGACTCTTCTCCCCGCTTCTCCCGCTGCCAGGCAGGGGCCCAGCCTGCCCGGCTGCCCCGGTGCCGCTGGGGCAGGACCAGGCCCAAACAGTGTGGAGGGAACACTCAGAGTTCCCTGATATGAAGAAGTGTCCTTTCCTCGGTCTCCTCTCCTTTCAGATCAGAGGAGGGGCAGCCCCTCCCGGGCAGGGGCACAGCAGGAGGCATGTTCTGCCGGATCCCATGACAGGCACCCCCCAAAGTGTCAGGAAGGCCAGAGGAGGAAGCCCAGCTAAGCCACAGGTCACTCATGGGGGTGGGGGGGGGAGTGAGGCCTGTGGCTCTGGAGGGGGCTCTACCGTCGCTGTCCCCTGGTCCCTGGAGGGCCCAGCCCCGCCCAGCCAGCCACCCTGAGGCCCAGAATGATGGGCAGGTGGCCTCTCCCCGCCACAATGGGTTTGGGGGAGCAGGACTGCACCCCCCACCCTGGGCCCCAGAGCTGCAGGCTTGGGAGAGCTTTTCCCTCCACGGGGATGCGGCCTGCCCCCTGCCCCGCCACCACAGCTCCTGCGGCTGCCCCCCTCAGAGCCCAGGCAGCCCTGGGACAGTCAGGTGGGTGGGAGAGGACTTCAGGTGGGTCCCTGAGAGGGCCCCTGGCAGCCAGCAGGGGCACCCGTCAGCCCTGTGTTCCCACCCTTCCCAGGAGAGACCCAGCCAGGAGTCTGGGAGCTGGTCATCCAGGAGGTGGGGCAGGCGTGGGCCACCTGCCCTGGGTGGGGCTGCCCAGCGAGGCCGGGAGGTGGGTGGTGCAGCTTCCGAGCTCAGCGAGTGTTGGGTGAGTGGCCAGTCTCAGCAAGTAGCACAACCTGAGCTCGAAAGCCGGCCCCACGCCCCCTCCGTGCCGCCAGGTCTGCAGCAGAGGTGACGTCACCTCCAAGGCGCTGCAGGCCCTGTGGCTTCCACGGTGGCCCGGAGCCAGACAACACGTTCTCAGGAGGCTCACTGGCACACCTGCCCTGGCAGGTTCCACCTGGGGCCGGCCGACGGCTCCCCCACCACTGGCTATCGGGTGCTGGGCGGGCATCACTGGGCCACACTAACTACCAGGTGTCCCATGGAGGGGGGGCGGGCCCAGCGGAGTGGAAGTCAGTTAGACCTTAACTTCTCGCTCGGCGTCCAGCGTCCCTCCGACCTGCTCCTGCAGGAGGGCGTACGCACGCTGCAGGGCCTGGTACTCCATGGTCAGCTGCCGGAACCGCAGCTCCGTCTCCTCCTTGGCCACGCCCTGCAGAGGCGCACAGAGCCAGCGTTCGCACCAGCCTCCGCCCAGGGCCCGGTGAGGGGAGGCCAGACCCCTCTTGGCCAAATCCCTCCCACCTGCCCCACGCTCCAGGCCCCTCCTGCACTGGGACCCCCAACACCTCCTCCCAGCTGCAGGACACCTGCTACCCCAGAGGGGAAGGTGGCTGCTGCCACTGCTGCCTCTCAGGCCCTGCTGGACCCCAGAGGGTTCGCTGCTCAGAAAAGCAGCCGGAGGCCGTGTGGGGTGGTGCCACATCCAGAGTGACCGGGAGCTCCCGGGAGCCCGGGAGCCCTCACACGGCCCAGCTCTCCCAGCACCAGCCTGCACCCCAAGTCTTGTTGGAGGCAGGTGGCTGCCCTGTCTGAGATGGCTCAGCAGCTCTGTGGCCACTGGGACCTGCCAGGGGTGGCCCCACCATGGCCTCCACAGCCTGGTCAGGGCCTTGGGCCACTGGCCACTCCTGTCCCTTGGCCACAAGGGCAGGACCCATCAGCACAGGCTCAGATGCTGACTGGATTTGAGGGCGGTGTCCTTCCAGAACAAGGAGGTGGGGGTGGGGCACACCAGCCGTGTTTCTATCAGGGACAAAGCCCCTGCTGCCCATGCACACCCCGCGTGTGCCCCTGGCAGTGGTGACAACCCTGGGCTGGGGATCCGGGCCTCCCCCACAAGCAGCCCCTTTTCACCCCTGCAAGAAGCACTAGATGGGGCAAAGCAGACAGCCGTGCACCAAAGGAAGGGGGGCCAGCAGGGCAGCGGCAACAGCGTGTTTCTCCCGGTGCAAAACCATGGACCGTGGGGCACACGGCCAGTGAGGGCCGCCCGGCTACCTCTGCAGGGAGCTGCCCCCGCCCGGCCCCGCCTGCCCCATCACCTCCTCCAGATCGTCGTCGGGGGTGCACGGGGTCTGGTCCGTCCTGTCAGTCTGGTAGGATATGGAAGAGCCGTCGGATTCCAGAGAAGCCTCTTCATCGTAGCCGAAGAAGGTCTCCACCACAACCGGCTTCGGGGGAAGGAGCACGTTAGTCCAGACCCAGCCGGGCCGAGCGGCCAACCCCGGGGACCTCTGGACCACTCCCACCGGCCCCTCCGCTGCCCGGCTGTGAGCCACACCCCAGTGCGCTCCCGGCGGGTGGGGGGCCGTGTGGCTGGGAAAGAGCAGAGTGGGAGGGGCCGGGTCTGCGGAAAGGCAGTCGGCGATGGCCGTGGGGACCGGCTCTGCGAGTCCCACAGCAGTGGCACTCGGAGGCCACCATGCAAACGACGTGTCTCGGGACTCATGGTGAGTGCCAGCTCCAGGTTTAGCCAGGGGCCCCTCATCTAGGCATTCATTTCGGTTGTGCTGTCAAAGTATCATCCAAGGGAGATTAAAGTAAAGCCAAGGGCAGAAGCTGGTCCTGCCCCAGTGGAGTGAGGGCCCCACCTGAGGGACACCCCCCAGCCCCTCCGTGATCTTGGTGACCCGGCTCTCCCCATCCCCACCCCGGGCCCTGTGAGTTCCAGCTCATGCACGGCCCTCTGCCCACTGAGGCTACAGTGCGTGGTGGCCAACTTACCACCCAACGCCCTGTCCTCAGCCCCGAGCCTGCCCTCTTCACTGAGGGCTCCCGACAGCCTGTCCCGCCCCACTCCTGTCCCATCAGGGCACCCAGAGAGCCGGCCCAGCCGGGGAGCGAGCCTCCTCCTCCAGCCTGCCCAGGCTGCGGTGCCTGCTGTCGGGCTCTCGGCCTCCGGTGGTCCCTGAGGACCCTGAGAGGACCCCACACCTCTCGTGCCGCTGTGGGCCTTTCCGCGGCCCAGATGACTGTGTCTGAGGAACCCCGTGGACCACTCAAAACCCAACAGAAACACGCTTTGCAAAACCAGGAGTCGGACCCTCAGAAATGTCTCCCAGGTCACCTCTGAGGAAAATGGCAGGTTTATCAGAAGGGACTGAGCGTCAGGGAAAGTCCCAGATCTTCCAGGGAGGGGCTGCAGCCTGCGGGCGGCCGTCCCCTCCCGTCCTCACTGCTGTCATGAGTTCCTGCCTTCTCTGGGAAAGTGAAGAGCAGTGGTGGGTGTGGCCGGGTGGGCTGGGTGTCGCCCCGCAAACCAGCGGGCAGGACTGGATTCCCGGGCAGGGCACAGGCCTGGGTGCGGGTTTGGTCCCCGGCTGGGGAGCCTGCGAGAGCCAGCTGACTGATGTTTCTCCCCCTCCCTCTCTCTAAAAGTAAATAAGTAGTCTTCAAAAAACTCAAAAAGAAACAAGGCTGGGTCCTTGGGTGAGAACTGTGAGCAGACTGTGCTCCGCACCCACCTTGGGGAGCTTGGCCATCTTCTTCCTCTGCTTCCGGAACCTCAGCAGCTTGTCCCGTTCCTGCAGAAACCAGTTGAAGGGACAGTTTTGAGTAATTGAGCAGCTCCATCCGCCTCAAACACACAGGTGGACGTCCCGTGTGGCCACTGAGTGGACAGTGGCGACTCCGACTGGCAGACTCTGTCCCCCCCCACCGCTGTCCTAGCACCTGAGCTCCACTGCCCACTTGGGGGGGGGGGAAGCTGCAGGTGCGGACACTGCTTTCCACCCCGGGCTGTGGTTGGCTCCGGGGGCTGCGCAAGGGGTCAGGGGATTTGAGCGGCAGGCATGGACATGGGCCTCGAGAGGACGGACGGGCCGGACCCTGCGTGTTCTGGGCAGATGTCTGCTCAGACACGTGGACGTGGACCCGTGAACGTGTGTGGGCACCTGTGACCTGCTTCTCTCTGGGGAGCAAGGCTGCCTTCCTGTGACTGTGACGGAAGCAGCCAGGCCCAGACGGGTCCACGCCGGCTGGGACACCCAGGGTAGGGGAGGGGCCCCAGGAGGGGGCCCCCAGACCTACGCTTGATCAAACAACTCAGGAGTGAGCACAGTTGTCGCTGCCACAGGCCGACAGGGCAGGTGCAGCCCAGGCCCACTGATCAGCAGGTGACCTCAGTCACCACACAGAGCCTCAGGGCAGGTACCGCTGTGGCCACCAAATCCACCCAGGTGCTGGCCCAGCCACTTCTGTCTGGCCTGGGAGGAGCCGCAGGGGCAGGGGGTCACGGGGACGAGGACAGACAGGGCCAGTGGTACTTACTAACACGCTCTTCACGTAGCCGGCCGTTTCCAGGGTCTAGGGAGAGAGGGCAGCGGGCTGGAGAACTGATTGTGACCTGCCCCCAGGACGCCAGAGTCCTGCGCCCACCCCCAACCTCTACCACTTTCTGACCACAGAGTCAAGTGGCTCTGCCCCCACCCCCTTCCTGCCGCCCCCAGCTGACGCCCAGGGCCCTTGCAGGACAGATGTGCTGGCCTTGCAGAGCTGGAGGAGGGGCGTTTGTGACCATCGCTGCTGCATCACTAAGCGAGACAAGACCTCCATCTCTCAGGTGCGGGACAGGGGGGCGGGGGTTGCGGGGCTGCATGGGGGAGGTCCCAATGCACAGCCTGTCGGGGCAGGGGCACCTCTCTGTCCCATCTCCTGTCACTTGGGAGGTGATGTCAGCCATCAGAACAGCACTTCCAGCCACAAGCCATGCCAGCCCCAGAGAGAAACACTGCGGTCCCCACTGCTGTGCAAGGACAGAACAACGGAGGCGGTGTGTTCTGAAGTGTCCTGGCCATGCCATCAGCTAACAGCAGAACACACCGGAACCAGGGTAACTGGAGGAGGGTCTGATGAGGGACAACCAGAAAGCTGGGCTGGGATGTCAGGGTCTTTGCCTTTGCAGGTGGGATTAAGTTCGGGGTCTCGGAATGAAGCCATCCTGCACAAGGGCGGCACTTGCCCTGGGGCCAGAGAGAGGGCCCCCCACGAAGACACGCAGAGACAGCAGTGACGGGCCGGGGGCACCAGAGGCTTCCACCAATCAGAAGGAGCGTGGCCCTGTCAGCACCTCGGTTTGAGGGTGCTAGCCTCAGAACTGGGAGGGGACACGTCACTACTGTTTTCAGCCCCTGGCCGAGGTCACAGGGGCCTGACCCTGACACTGGTGAGGATGTGGCTCCTGAAACCCCTGGTCCAGAGCGATGAGGAGGGAAGCTGTAAGCTCCAGGCAGGGCCACCTCCAGCGTGGCCACGGTGCAGGGACGCACGCGGCCTGACATAGCCACGGAGGGGCCAGGAAGACAAACAACCCTGCCTCCTGGGGGTGCCTCTTGGTAGCAGACCCCAGGCCAGGGGCTCAGAGTGTGGCCTCTGGGGGCAGGAGAGCACAGGGAGGGGAGAGGACCTAGACCCGGGGTGACACCCGCCGGCCAGCCCCAGTCACCTTGGACAGCTCGTCTATGAGGTTCTGCTGCTCCACAATCTGGAGCTTCAGGAAGTCGACTTCTCTTTCCTCCTGGCTCTGGTCCAGGTCGTTTAAGGAGCTGGGTCTCCTTATGATCCCGGCTCTTTGTCTCTGAAAAACCAGCCAGGCCGTCACCCAGAGTGGCACAGGGTGGCCCATGAGGGTGGTGGGGAGCCAGGTTCTTCCCCGCAGGCTGCAGAGCCCGGCGAAACCAAGGCTGCTTCTTGGCCGTCCCACAGCAGGGCCCCTGGGAAGCGATGCTCCCCCTCAGATGAGACCTGCAGCCTGCCCAGGCCAGGTCCTGCCAGCGACCCGTCCCAAAGTCAGGGTGTGAAAGCCAGGGCATTCTGCAGTGGGGAGTGGGGGGCACGTCTGCCTCTCCCACACTCCTCACTCTTACTCATGGCCTCTGGGGCCCTCAGGACCAGAAGGGACACGCAAGATATCAGCTAATCATCCCCTACTCTGCCTAGCGGCGCCAGCAGGAGGGGAGCCGCCCGCCTGGATCTGTGGTCCATGCCCTGTGCCCAGACTGTGCCAGGGCTCCCACCACCTCCATCGGAGCTGCTCAGAGCTGGGTGGCGTCCTGGGGCCGAGGGTGTGAGTGCTCAGTCTTCCCTGCTTAATCCCTGTCACTGCCTGCAGGGGGGGCCCTGCCCTCCAAGGGCCGCAGGCTCCTGGTCAAACCTTGAACCTGAGAAGCGGTGGAGGTCCTCGCAGAAGCGCTGGCGCGAGCGCCCTCTGCTGGCGGACGGACACATTGGGGGGGGCCTCACCATTTCTATGTTCTCCTGGGTTAGGAATTTCAACTTGTTTTCCGCGCGACGCAAAGTGTGGGACAGACTCTCATTCTTCCGAGTAAGACGTTTGTTTTTCTCCAGCAATGGCTTGTACTGACTTTCAGCTTCTCGGAGACGCTTGAGCTGAAAGACAAAAGTGACTGCGAGCTCGGTGCTCCTAGTTGGGACGGAGAACCGGCAGGTCCCCGTGCGGAGCCCACACACCAAGCGGAACCAGCTGGGGCGACTGAGAAGGGCCGCGGTCGGGCCCAGGAAGGTCTGCGGTGCCAGGACCCCGCGGGGCGCTTGGAGAAGACCTCGCCTGGAGGACAAGGGACTCAGAAACCGCCAAGTGGCCGCCAAGACTGACGGTGCTGGCGCCACCGCAGGGTGAGGCGCGCACGCGCCTCACGTCATGAGAAGAATGTGGACGTGCCGCCCAATCACAGGAGCAGGGATCCGTCCACCCACCAGCACCTGGGGCCCGGATGTGGCCCTCACTGCGCTCGTTTACGAGGTTTTATCGGCACCAGCCGGGAGGCCGAGACTAAGCCCCGCCCCGGGCACCAGTGCGCCTTTCCACGGGGAATTCGGAAGTGGACGCCCGGCGCCCCTGCAAGGTGGCCGGAGCGGCCGCGCTCACCAGTTCGTTCCTCTCCTCCGACAGCAAGGCGTTCCGGTCCTCCAGCTTCCGAATGATGGCGCTCAGCTCCGCGATTTTAAGTTGGAAGCGCCGAGCATCCTTCTCATCCAACTGCTGCTCCTGAAACAGAAGCCAACTGCAAAATAACTGCTCGTAGACAAATAACCCTCTGCAAATCCCAACCTGCATAGACCCGGAGCGCGGCTGTGTCACGAGGCCCGAGCCTGCGGGGCGGGGCTGGGGGTCTCTCCGAGGGGCTGCAGCGCGGCTGCTCAGTGGACTGCGAGATGGCATGGGACGCAGAAGCAGACACGACCGGAAGGTGCGAGTGTGGAGGGCGCGGGCATGCACGTGCAGGCTCCCTGACCGCGGTGAGCCCCGAAAGCGTCAGATCCAGCTCTAGATGAGCCTGGGCCCGGGCTGGCGGCACTTCAGGGAGGGTCCACCCTGCCCGCAGGCCGCAAGTCACTTCCCGGGTATTACGTGAGCGCGGAGAACGACATTGGACCTAAGACTCCCAAAAGCTAGTGTCCCGGGAGGATGCGTCTGAACGGCCACTATGGAACCACTGAGACTTAAGGCAAAACCAGTGAAACCACTGGGCCCTGTTTAAGAGGCTAAGGGGTCTGCGCAGTGGAGCAGGCAAGGTGCTGGGGCAGGTGCTCATTCTGTTCAGCCACGCAGAAGAGGGCTATCAAATGTCATCTTTATCCTGGAAGTATCCCTGTCCTAGGGCTGGCTCAGCTCGTACACGTGTGTCCAGAAGGACAGAGGGATGATTCCTCATTCAGCAGGTGCAGGAGAGGCTAGGGGCCTACTGGGCAGACCACGTGGGACATCTGCGGAATTCAGACCACCCTCCTCCCCTGGCCTTCCCAGGCCCTGAATGAGGAACAGCAATGAGGAGATGGCCAGTGTCAGGGCCGGCCGCTGGCAGGCCAGGGGTGAGCAGGAGAGTGTCATGGTGACATGGAAAGCAGGTGGGAGGGTGATGAGTGACGCAGATGGCGGAAATCACTGCATGGAGGTCAAACCCAGGATGGGGGGCAGGGAGCCTGCCCTGACACCAGAAGGCACAGCCCGCGAGTGGTGAGGGAAGCCACTTAGCCACAGGCGCCGCCAGCTCAGGGCAGGAGCGGTCCCAGCCAGCACCAGGGGCCCTCAGGAACCTTCAGGCCCCACGGCTCAGGTGAGACCTCGTGAAGGCCAGGCTGCAGACTATGTGAGCAGGGAAGGAAGGAGGACGACTTCTATCCATGCTCTTGGCTGAGCAGGGAAGCCAAGGGGCCCAGGGCCTGGTGCGTGGGCTGCAGACATGGGCGGCAGCTCTGGCTCTGGCCCCGCAGGGACTCTCGGGCATGGGCTTGGGTGGCAGGGCCCTGCACTCTCAGTCCGGGGGGGTCAGGGAGGTGCTTACAGGGCTTCCCGAGTGGTCTGAAGCATCTCCTGCACCGCTTGCATAAGGAAGTTCCCGTCTGGGGCTGCCCGGGTGCCGATCAGCCTCTCTGACCTGGGACAGCTGCTCATCTAGGGCCTCCTTTTGGAGCTGCAGCCTCTGAGCGAGCCCGGCTTGGACCCCTAACTCTCTCTCCAGCACGAAGACTGCTCTGTCCTTAAACTTTATCTCCTCCATCTACAAGGAGAACAGAACACAATCACACGCAGGCAGGGTGCAGATATGTTACCACAGCAACAGGCAGACTGCACAAGCATCAGGAGGGGCCCCCTATGCACACCACGAGCCCTCCCCACTCGACCTAAATGGCAGCGATCCTGCGCTCCACCTCCTAACAGCTGCGAGAAGCCACCTGCCTGCCAGCCCCTCCTCCGGGCAGCCATAGGTGCATCCTGGCCAAAGGCGAGCGGCCTGGGGGGTGCAGGGCAGAGCCAAGTGCGCCACCGCCCACGCTCCAGACAGGCAGACGCAGCCCCATGGGCATCGCCACACATGGCGCTAGATTTGCAAGGAGACGGTTTAAAACCTATTTTCAAACAGAGCAGGATAGGCTATCTTGTAGCTTTGCCTCAGTTCAAGGTCATGATTGGCTAATCAATCAGCCATCTGCTGAAGTCAGCTTGGGAACCAAGAGGCGATGTCTGATTAGCCCAGATCTCAGAATTTATGGGCAAGCGGGGAACTGCAGAGAATAAAAAATCCGTAATCACTAAATCCCCATTTACTGGGACGCACAGAAATGCAGGGCAATACAGTCAGTGAGTGAAAAAGCACAGAGGCCGGTGGGAGGGGGATCGGACCAACATGCAGCTGCCTCCCGTGGCCTGATGTGGCCGCTGTCACGCGGGCACTTTGGGAACGCCACTCTCCTCTCATCAGGAGACAGAAGCTGGTCTGTGTGCCCACAGCCCACTGAGTCAGTGTGTTTGAGGACCATTGGGACCCGAGGCCTACCTCCCAGAGGGGTCACCCCGCATGTTGCCAGCCAGGGCTGCGTGATGACCCACAGAGGAGACGGCAGCGTTTGATTTTTTAATGGTGGGAAGCTCACTTCAGGATCGGTGACTGAGTCTCCCAGGGGATGGTCCCAAAGCCTTGGGTGTCTCACGTGCAGTGTTGCCACTGGGATTTCTCAGCCAACTGCATGTCCCCACCTTCTACTCCCCTTACAGCCACCTGCCCCTAACCCACGTTCTGGGAAATGTGCCGTTGGCAACTTCATCATGGTTCGAACCATCAGAGGCACTGACCCCGAGCCAGGTGGCCTGGCCTCCCGCCCACCCCGTCCACACGGTCTGCTGCCCCGGGCTGAGAGCCTGCACAGCCTACCACTGCACTGAGCACTGAGGTGACTGTCACTCGATGACAGTGTCTGTGCCTCTCAGCACATGCAAACGTAGAAAAGGGACAGGGGCACTGGGGCATGAAAGACGAACCCAGTGCCCGTGGGCATGTGCAGGGCGCTCGGCAGGGGTGCAGCCCACAGGGAGGGGGACGCTGCCCGGGTGGGGTGGGCGGGGGGGGGGGGGGGTGTGACCTGAGGCCAGGACGCCACTGGGTGCTCTGTGACGCAGTGCCCCAGGCATCACTCCGTTTATGAAAGTCACTTGTCTTTCTTCAGTAATCAGTTAACTTTAGCTTATTGTAACTTTTTCACTTCATGCTATTTTTTGTTTACTTTTCAATTCTTTCATGAAAAGCCTTCACTTAAAACGTTATACAGCTATACAAAAAATGCCGCTTCTTTATACCATTATACTATAATTTTTCTATTTTTAAAGTTAACGATTTTTAAATTTTTTTGGTTAAACACTAAGACACAAACACACCCATCAGCCTAGGCCTACCTGGGTCCGGAGCCAGCCTGCCCCCCCCCTCCTGCCCCCGGAACGGTCCCCGGGCACATCTCCTGGGTGAACAGGGTCGTGGGGGGCACCGCCCCAGGGTCTGGCTGAGACCCTCCTGGATGTGAGGGGGCGCCACTCCCGAAAAACACACCAAGGCAGTGGGTTCTTCTTTATTGCAGGCGTGCTGGGGGCAGACCATGGGCCGTGAACAGCCCTCGGGTCCGTGAAGGCCTCCCGCCAAAGCCTTCGCTGTGGGTTTTCTTGGGGGCTCTCCTTGTTCTTTTACAGCCCACACCCTGCCTTGCACCGTGCAGGCGAGTGCACCTCTGCTCTGCTGATCAACAAGACGGGCAGGTGGCGGCTGGAGTGGCAGCTGGAATTTGCCGTCAGCCATTTTCAGAGCAAACAGAAGACTTGCCCAGGACGCCCCACCCCGCCTGCCACGTGACAACGTTACTTCTGCACACGAACTGCTGGCCGGACTGCACACCAGCCTGCTGGTGGGGCTTCGCGACTGCTGTTGGCTAGGATTCCACTGTAACCAGCTGTAGCCTAGGCAACGGGCTACAGAGGGGGTGACATTATACATCACAGATTATTATGAGAAAGCGGAAATTGGCTTTGCCTGCACTTCCTCAATTTTATGGAACTTTAATGACAATCTGAGCTCGATCCCCACGGATGCACTGAGTGAGCAGCAACTGTGAATGTCCCAGCTGTGCTCTTGGGCTCCGGACAGGAGGCCTGGGTGCACCCGCACGGCTCTGGGCCCCAAGTGACACCCCGCCGTGCCCACCACAGTCCTGTCCTCAGAGCCACCAGCAGCTGGGTACAGCCGGGGAGGGGCACTTGATTGAGCTCATGGGGACGTCGGAGCCAGGCAGGCGGCGGAACGAGACTGCCCCCCCTTCCACGCTGATGGAGACTCGGCCAGATGAGGATGTAAGAAACAGCCCAGAACACTGTAATCACCGTGTGCGTGCCCGGCGGGTCCCAGGACTACCGGGGATCCCTCTGTTATGGGGGTCTGACCACTTTGATGCACGCCGGAAAGCAGGAAGAAATAACACTCAATGTCAACTGCAAGTGGAAAAAAATGGGCCAGAAATGGCCGTGGGGGACCTGGCTTCTCCAGGGTCAGTTCCAGGGAAGGGGCGTCAAAAGGACAAGTGGAGGGGAGCCCCCAAACTGATGGTGGGTTCCACCCCCCACAGGGACAAGTGCGGAAGACAGAAATACGGAAGGAAGGAATCGGAAGATTTCTGACTCCCTTTGTACGAATGCTTGAGGGCTGTCTGACCTCGGGGTGTGTGCACTTTCACCTCTGACCTTCATCTTTGATTTAGACTCTGTGCCGACAGACGCTGACCTGGAGGGAGCCGTTAGGAACGAGGTCATTCCTGTCCACAGGTGGATGGACAGACGGCCCCGCCGACGCAGCTGATCTCTTCAGATCAAACCCTCATTTGCACAGGCTGCACTGCGCCAGCTCCCTCGTTAACCGATGTGTTCAGTAGAATTTCTGACTTGTTTGTTGTATATTCGTATGAGAATCGTGATCATACCCTCATTAAAAAGTATCCTCCCAGAGTTCAGTTAAGATTCCAACAACAGTCCCACCACTTTGCTCCGTACGAGGAATGAGTCTGAGGTTGTGTAGAAGCTGAAGAGGCGGGAAGCTCCTCCCGAGGAGCGAAGTGGAGGCCACGCCTCCGGAAACCAGGACACAGGGACAGCAGTCCGCGTACACAAGCTCGAAGAGGGACCCGATGAGCACACGAGAAAGCCCGCTCGGGTCAGAATGCTGCTGTGGCCCTGGCTGGTGGGGCTCAGCGGACTGAGTGCCAGCCTGCGAACCGAAAGGTCGCTGGTTCAGTTCCCAGGCAGGGCACATGCCAGGGTTGCGGGTCAGGTCCCCAGTAGGGGCACATGAGAGGCAGCCACACACTGACGTTTCTCTCCTTCTCTTTCTCCTTCCCTTCCTCTCCCTCTGAAGATAGATAAATAAAATCTTAAAAAAGAAAAAGCTAAGCTTTGTGGCTCCAGGATAAAAGAATTCCCTAAACGAGACACAGTAAGCACCAAGTTATGGAAGATGGTCAACAAATCAGACCCCTGGGGAATGTGAGCTCACAAAGCCACATCGCTAAGGACCCAGAACGGTAGTCCCGCTGCGGGAGGGGCCTGGTGTCCATCTCCAGCCTGCAGGAATGTGGTGGGGTCCTCCCAGTAACCTGGGCAGCAATGCCGGTGGACGAGCCTGAGCTTCCTGCCGACCGTGGACGTGGGAGTCTGTTTACTATTTTGCTCTGTCTTTATTTCTCGGGTCATGTAGTAGTTTTCAGAGTTCAGGTCTCACACGTCTTCTGTTAAACTTATTCCTAAACATTTTAATCTTTTTTTGTGCCACGAGTGGGTTTTTAAAAATACTAATTTGAATTATTTCTTGCTGCTGCATAAAAATACAATTGATTCTGCACACTGACCTTGTATCCTGAACTTGCTGAGCTCACTGAAACAGCTCTTCGGGCGGAACTCCTTAGGGTTCTCTACAGGCAGTCTGCCGCCTGCAGAGAAATGTAGTTGGAATCCTCCCTTCCCGGGCCGATGTCTTTAATTTCTTTCTTTTGCCTTAGCGCCCTGACTCCAATTCCTCAGCGGGAAAAGACCCCAACAATTTCCTCACTTTAAGATTTTATTTATTTAATTTTAGAGAGGGGGAAGGGAGGGAGGAAGAGAAGCATCAATGTGTGGTTGCCTTGCGTGCGCCCCCTACTGGGGCACCTGGTCTGCAACCCAAGGGACTGGCGACCCTTTGGTGCACAGGCTGGCACTCTGTCCACTGAGTCGCACTAGCCAGGGCTAAAGGCAGTATCCCTTGTGGGCCACCGCCCCACTGACCACTCACACTGGGGGTGCCCAGCACAGGAGGGGAGACCCGCTTCCCGGAGGAAACCCTCTGGACGAGATGCAGCAGCGGAGTGGCAAAGAGCCAAGTAATTATCATCCTCAGGAAAATGGGGCAGGGTCACGTCTGTGAGTAGGAGAGGGAGGACCAGACCACTATTTCAGAAAACAGGTGTGTTTGAGAATTACATGCCTGATGGCAGAAACAAAAGAAACCAAACAGAAGAGTGAGAAGAGAGAGCTGAGCACACTTCCTAGAAGGAAGAACGCAAAGCCAAGGTCGGTGAGAGAACAAAGAAAATCTGAGTTCCGATGCAAAGGCCCAGCATCTGACTGACGGGGCTTCTAGAAGGAAGAGATGGAAGAAAAGGATTAAGAAACAACAGAAGGGAGGTCTCCAGGGCCCGGGGGTGAGTTTCCACTGGGAAGGGCTCCCGACCGCCCTGCAGGTTGGAGGAGCAAATACACAGTGACGTGGGGGAACTGTCCTAAAATGTCCCCTCTCTCCAGGGATGGGGAGGGGACAGGGCCCCTCGAGGAGGCGCAGGGGTCAGAAGGCCATCCTGCTCCTCTGGAAGCACTGGAAGTCAGAAATCCTTTCCAGCTCCGCGTGGAGCCTTTTCCAGCCAGTGACTCCACACCCAGTTACACTGGGTGAGAATAAGAACGTCCCTCTGCTCCGGGGGAGGTGCTGCAGAATGGGTTCCGCCAGAGGCAGAAGAAGACAGTAAAAGAGAGAGAGATAAGGGGGTCTCACCCCTGGGAGGGGGCAGGTCGCCAGGGTGCTGCGGGTTCAGGGAGAAAGTCCAGGCGAGACAGGAGAGAATGTTCTGGAAAGCAGGTCTCTGAGCAAGGTGCACGGACTGAACCCTAAGGTTTCCAACCAGCGAGAGAGTTTCTACTGGAAATTCCAGGGTGAACTGATGATAGGCACTTAGCAAATTCAGCAAAGGAGAAAATTAATCCCAGGGAAAGCAGAAGTGAGAACAAGAAAGGTAACAGGATCTTGGGACACTGGATCTTGGATGAATACTGTTTCCATAAGAATGCCTGTATCTGCTTATTTAACCCAAAATGAGTTCCAAGCACCCTGTGAGCCCCTCCCAACCCTCCGTCCTGGGCCAAGGCCCCCCCTCCTGTCCCCTGCATTGCCTCTAGGTGGGCGTGGCCACCAGGATCACAGAAGCCAAGGTGGGGGCCCCGGCGGGGCAGCTTCATGGGTTGGAGCGCACGCCCAGGTCGCAGGGTCCACCCCCAGTCAGGGCACATGGAAGAGCCAACCAGTGAATGGATAGCTAAGGGTAACAATGAATCGATGTCTCTCCTTGCCTCGAATCATTACATTTTAGAAAAGTCTAATTCTGTGGGATTCAAAATAAATATAACTGTTTAGAAAAAAGAAAATCAAGGTGGGAGGGGCAGCACTGTGGTACCTGCCCCTCAGCTCTGCGTCACCCTCCCTGGGGCCTGCTGCCCGGCTGTCACCACCCGTGGGTCTCCCGCGATGATGCCCACACCTTTGTAAATGGCCCCACAAGGAAGTCCCCTCCGCCCCCTGCTCCTGCCGAGTCCTGGACCAGGTAAGTTACAGGGAATGGAGAGGGCACAGGAGGGGCTGAGACTGAGGAGTCAGGAAGTGGAAGTGTGAGCACGTTTTTGAGAATTTGGAACAAATACCCAGAGAATCAGAAGAGTCATCCATGGCTGCCTCTGGGGGTCCGTGCCAGAGGTGAGGGGACCAGGGACCTGCTGGCTCACACCAGCCTCCTGTCAGGGTATATGCCTCCGACGAACATGGCAGGGCCGGGTGACATGGAGTCAGGGGGGAGCCGGGTCGGCGATACCCTGCCAAAGGGGAGGTGGGGGGCATTTGGGAGCCCTGTACACACACCGTGGCAGTCATGTTTGACTCAGTTTCCCCTCTGGGCCCTGGGGCCAGAGGACAGCAGCCCGTGTGGGAAGTTCAAGGTCAAGGCGCAGTGTGGGGGCGTCTTTGGAACCCAGAGCCCAGGGAAGTAGGGGCAGGTGGCCCAGGTGCAGGGCTGTGCTGGGCCCCGTGAGGAGCCTCCGGGCCTCAGGTGTCACCCACCAGGTTCTGATAACTCACACAGGGGACTTGGGGCCTGCCTGCCAGGGGACATGGGCTCTCACCGGGTGTGCAGGTGGCCGCACCTACCCTGCAAGCCGGCAATCCGTGCCATCCAGTCTCAGAGGAGGCACAGGGTCGGCAGGACAGCCTGGGGCCATGGCTACCAACCCCGCGCCCTGTGGCCACACCTCTCTGGGTCCAGCGAGCCGGGCAGTCTGCAGAGCCTGCCCGTGATGGGAGAAGTGACTTGTGCCACCAAGACACCAGGCCTGCTCAGCTTGTGGCCTGACCTGGGTCCCTAAGAAGGGGAGCCTTTGGGAACCCTGCAGGGACAGGGTTGGGGAGGCTGACTTGCGAACCTCCCGCTCTGGCCCGAACTGGACACAGGAAATAAAGCCGGCCAGAGAGAGGGGCAGAGGGTGGCGCTGCCAGACGGCTGTCCCTTCGGACGGTGCCCTCACGCCCTCCTGTCCTGGAGACCCTGGGACCACCGGTGACGCCGTGAGGGCCTGTGTGGAGGAGCAGCCCACCCGCCGCCGCAGGGCCCACATACCAGCCTGCGGATCTCCCGCTCACACTCCTTCTTGATGCGGGAGATCTCCTCCTGGTGCAGGTGGTACACGCTGCGGATCTCCGCGGCCTTGATCTTGTCGGCCTGCATGACCACGGTCAGTGCCTCCTCCACCTGCCGCTTGGCGCCCTTGAGCTCCGAGATCTCCTGCTGCATCTTCACCTTCTCCACCTCGAACCCCTTCCGGGCCTCCTCCTTGGCCTCGGACAGCAGCGTGGCCTTGGCCTTGTCGGGGCCGCTGTCGTGCAGGGCGTGCAGCAGCGCCTGCAGCCGCTGGTTCTCGTTGTCCTTGATCTTGATGACGCGCAGCAGCTCGGCCTCGTGCTGCCGCAGCAGCGTCTCGCGCACGGCCTGCAGCTCCTTCATCTTCTCCTCGTGCAGCTTGCTCTTGAGCTCCGTGAGCAGCACCGCGCTCTTGTGCTGCTCGTGCTCGCGCGCCTGCCTCAGCTCCTGGTTCTTCTCGCGCTCCACCCGGCTGACCTGCAAGGCAAGCAGAGGCGGGGCACTGACGTCACCATGCTGCGCCGCGACTTTTGCGGTTTGCAACCCTCTCCTTCTAACGCGACTGAAAGGGGAGGAGCCTCGTGGGCGGAGTGTCTCCGCTCCCACGGGCGTCCCAGGGGCGCTCAGGCTGAGGGTCAGCTCTAGACACTGGGTCCCTGGAATCTGCTCCGTGGGGACAGGCCGGCCGAGGAGGTGAAGCCGGCGTCCCCCAAAGGAACGTGTGCAGAGGGCACAGTCCGTGGGGAGCAGCGGGACCCCTGCCTTTGCCTAAATAACAGGCCTCACACTCACCTGCTATGACATCCTTGGCAAGTGGGGACACCTCACCAACCGCTGTGCCATCTGTCTACACGACGTCTGATGTCTGACTTTGGAAACACTCAGATTTTTCCTGTTTTATTTTCATCTGACAGTGTCACCTTGGCTAAGTGACCCCTGTACCCCCATCGTGCACAAAGTTGGGGCTCAGAATCCATGTGGAGTGAAGGACGGCTGAGACCCAGGTCAGCCTGGGCTGATGGGGGCCAGACAACAGGAGAAACCCATTGCCAGAGCCGCGGACCCCACCGCCCCTCTCCAGGCAGGCGGAGGGGGCCCTGCTTCCTGCCGGGACCTGAAGGGCAGCCACCTGACATTCAACCGTCCAAACAGACCCCCCAAGGCCTCCATCCATGGCTCCACTGAAGCTCCGGGACACTTCCACTTGAGGAGGGCCCAGGCTGTTCCCACGGGGCCGGGGCTTGTGTCCCCATGCGCACCTGTGGGCCGGGCCCCAGTGGAGCCCACCCGCTGCCCTTCCCCAGAGCAGTCTGTCCTTCCCAGCTGCGCAGAGAGGCCCTGGGGGCCCAGGACTGACTGGGTGGGCCCTGCCGCAGAGACCCGGCCACCCCGCCTCCCGCTGAGGACTGACGGGCGGGGGGGGGGGCTGGGGTGGAGCCCACCTTGCTCTTCTCCTGCTGCAGCTCGATCTGGATGTCGGTGAGCTTGGCCCGCAGCTCCTCGTTGGCGGCCTGCAGTGCGGCGAGGGCCTCGGCCCTGTCCCCCTTGCTCCGGCTGCCCACGCCCTTCTTGGACATGGTGAGGGTGGCCCGAGGGGCACCGGGGGTGGGCCGCCTGTGTGGGCTGGGCTGTCCACGCCAAGCTGTGGCAGATGCCGCCTCACTGCCACTCTGCTACATGTTCTCATTCACCTGGAGGAAGAGCACACCTGGGTGGGCCGCTGGCCTCGGGCCCGAGTCCGGGGCAAAGACAGATGGGGGCCAGGCTGGCCGCTCACCTGCCCTGAGGACACTGGCTGGGCCACAGGCTGGTCCCAGAGGCCAGTGGCTCTCCATCCGCACCCAACAGGGACCCACATGCAAGAGCATCTACCTCTGTGCCGACGGAACGAGAGGGCGGGACTCCAATTTAAGGTGTAAGTTTCGTTTGTGGGACAGTGGCCGCCTGGTGGCCATGGTGGCTGCCAAGGAAAACCTCTCAGAAGTGGCGTTTTACAAATCTGCCTGCGGGGGGGAGGGGGGCCCGGGGCCCCTCTGATGGTTGGTAGCTCGCATGGTTTGTCAGAGGGGGCAGGAAAGGTTTGCACCTCTGTGAGAACTGCTTGCTTATTAAGTACGGGGACGGGGGGCTGAGTGAAGTTCAGACACTAAAGGGGCCGGAGGATGTACTTGGATGTACTTGGACTTGGGGCGGAGTGGGGACTGGCTGGTCAGAGCAGCAGAGAGGAGCTGAGCCCGACCCAGAGCTCTGACTCCTGGGGTAGCTCTTAGGAAACCGGGAGACCTGCTCGGCACGGCACCAAGGGCACCGGCCACCGGTGAACCCTTCCCGGTGTGGGTGTGAGAAGGCGGCGTGCCTGCCTGCTGGTCGGTGTCGGCTGTGGGCTCCGAGCACTTGCCCCCGAGAACCGGCTCGCACTTGGACTCGAGGGTTAGCGTGTGGCCCTGAGAAACCAGCTGCTTCCCAGGGCACTGGCCACGCAGGCGTGACGTGCCTGCTGAAGGACTCGTATCCCGAGTGTGCAGACATGTCTTAAAACTCCCAAAACTCAATAGTAAAAAGACAACTCAATTTTAAAAAATAAGCAAAAGATTTTGGGGCGTGTCACCAAAGCAGGTGCCCGGACAGCAAATGACCATTAGAAGGACACTAACGTCACCTGTCCTCAGGACAACGCAGACTGAACCCCCGGGGACACCACGGCCCACCAACCAGGACGGGAAGTGAGAGGCGGGCCACGCCCAGTACCGGCCGCTGTACAGGCGGCGGAGCGGACCCTCATGCTCGACTGCCAAGGATGGGAAACGGTTTGACCATCTTGGGAGACACTGTGAGTTTCTTAGAAAGTCAAACACCCACCGGGTGACCCCGACAAGGCATCGGCCCAGGAAATAGAAGCACAGTCATGTGGAGACTGGGACCTGGGTGCTCACAGCAACTTGTTTGTGATGGAAAACAGTGGCAGCCACCTTGAACTCCATCTACCGGCACGGGGGTAATCGAACTGGGAATGCCCATACCAGGCACGAAACAAAGGGTGACGACTGACACACTCAGTGTCGACGTAAAAGCACACTGTAGGGCTGCTTTTACAGGCAGTTCTCAAGAGCACGAGCTCACCTGTCCTGAGGGAGCGGAGCAAGGGCTGCGGGACACCATGGGCTGGCAGGGAGGAGCGGCGGGAGCACCGCGCGGAGAAAGGAAGGAACCAGAGACTCAACAGTGTCCACTATCGTGAGCGTGGGGTGGTTTTTCGGGCGTGTACGTGGGTCAAACCTTATCATATTTCAGCACCAAGAAAAGGAGTTTCAGAGCCATAAGCAGCACACTAAACTGGGTAATGGTATGGCTCTTTCGGGAGCAGTAAGATAGCATGTATTTAGAAACCTTCAAAGTGTCCCTAACTTTCAACTTGGGACTTTCATGTCTGGGACAGACACACTCTTTCTTAGCAGATCTCATTGCCTCTCAGTCAGCAAGATCCCTCACTTATCGCCCGTCACCCATGGTGTCCTACCACAGCCCCCTTGTCTCTGAACTGGGGAAACCGAGGCACAAGGCAATGACAGCTGCCTCTTTCAAAAACAAGTGTTGGGAATCCGTTAAGAAACTGTTACCATCCCTAAAACGCTGGAGTTCGCTAAGTCAAGAGTGGTGTCGACGGACAAACCGGGGTCTCTGATTCAGCGTAAAAGAGAAGAGCGCACCCCCCAGGGCCGGGGGCCACGAGGACTGGGTCCCTCCGTAGGCCTGCACCTGAACGGGACGCAAGGCCCAGCGGTCCCACCCTCCTCCCCTGCACCGGGAGCTGGGGGGGGGGGCCTGGGGTCTCCCACTGCAACCTGGGGTGGGCGCCCACCACACCCAGCTCTGAGCACCCGCTCCACCCCCACGGCGGCCAGAACTCGCTCCGTCAAAGAAGGACTGAGTTTGGGACTAGAGATGCGCCCTGAGGAGCTGGGCAGCCCCCCACCCCCACGCAGGGCCCAGACTGCGGAGGCCCCCCCGAGCGTCTTCCCGGGAGGTGCCTGCACCCTGGAGACCACCTCCGCCCCTGCTGACCCACAGCCGACTCGAGTGCGTTCTGAACACAGACGTGAGTCCAGCTGGAGTACCGTGCAGCGGCCCTCAGCTCCCCCCAAAGGAGCCGAGCCCTGCGCGGTCACACGACCACACTCGTGCCCTCCCTCCCTCCCTGCCAGCCGGTGCCCTCCTCACCCGTCTGCGCGGTGACTGGGTGACCGAGGCTCCTCCAGCTCGGTGCAGCTTGCGGGCGGCCCCAGGGCCCTGTGACTCAGCAGAGTGAGCCTACGCTTCTCAGCTGGAAGTCACAGCTCTGTGACTGCCTCCGGGGCGGGCAGGCGGCCGGCACTGAGCGGGGGCCGGAGGCAGGATCCCAGACCACTCCCCGGGCGTGAAACGCCGCGCCCAGACTGGCACCGTGGGAATGCCCGCTCCTGTCCACTGGGGGGCTGGGAGAGGGCTGTGGGGTGGGGAAGGAAGTGTCGGCTCTGCTCTGCCAGCAGGAATGGCAGCCCCCGCGTGGCGTCCTGAAGGCCGCCCTCCGTGTGCCCAGCGGCGGAACCACACGCCCGGGGCCGGGACAAGTGAGGGCCGCCCGTGCCTGCCTGGTGTCCGGCCGCTCCAGGTCCCTGGGGGGTCCGCGCAGCTATAAGGTCCATGGTGTGAACAAACTTCTGGTCCATTTTAAACGTGCAGGTGACAGAAGAGACGGCCCGTTTCACTCCAAAGAGGGGACACGCACAGACACATCAGACCCGGGACAGGGGACAGAGGGCCTCTGCTGTGGCTGGTGAGACAGGCGCTGGCCCACGGGCCCCGAAGGGCACAGGGCAGCCTCGTCAGCACCTGGAAGGACGCAGGTCCTGGGGGGCTCCCGTGGGTCCTGGGGAGGCGTGCGTGTCCAGCTGGTCTGAAACCGTCAGGGAAACCAGACCGGTGGGGCGCATGCGAGCCACGGCAGCAGGGTCCCCCCAGGTGGAGAGCGGGCGTGCACCCTCTGCAGCAAGGAGCCCGGGCTCCGCTGGCCTGATGACGTCGGCTTGGCCACCTGCTCCGTTCCCACGGGACATGATGCCATCTGTCCGCCGTGCGGGTCTCTGGTTAATCCCGTAGCTGCGGCGCACTGCTGGCTGAGCCGTGTCATGTCTGGTAGGGCTCGCCGCCTCCTCCTGGTTCCACTTGGCCTTTCTGACTGCGGGTTCTCCCACGTCAGCGTGTCCCCTGCCACGAGGGCCCGGTGGGCTCGGACTGGAACTGTGGAGGGTGAACCGGGAGAGGACGACCCCCTGTGCGGTCGGCCCCCGGGGCACCAGGGCTCCCTTCCGTCCGGGACGGCGCTGTCTTTCAGTGCAGTTGCTCCCTCTCTCCGGGGTTTCGCACGACTCCTGACGTATTTCCTGGGGTGCCCCTCGGGGGTGCTGCGATCGAGAACGGGCTTGTGTGCGCTGCTGTGGCCTCTCCCTCCCGTAACCTGGGAGAAGCTGCCGTGTGGGAAAACCGCCCACTCCCCTGCGTGGACCTGCGCCCGCACTGGCTGGAATCTGTGGGAGCCACCTTGCCCTCTGTGCGGACGGGCGGTGCCGTCTCTCCTCTCAGGTCCTCACGCTTCGTGTCTTCTTCCCGCGGCGCTGGGCTGGGTGAGCGCAAGGGAGGACGGCTGTCACCTGTCCCTTGTTTCTTTCCTGAAGAGAAACGCTCGCTGTGGGCCCGCCGCCGCCAGGCAGCGTGTCTGCTGCAGGATCTCCGTCGACAGCCGTGAGCAGTCCAAGCGTCGATTTGGATTCCGTGTTTGCTGAGAGCTCGTTTTTTAAAGCTTGTGTGTGGGTGGTGCCGTTTATCAAATGCATTTTGGGGGCAGAGAGAGTGGCTGTATTGTTCTCTCCTGGTCCCTCCAGAGTGACCTGGGCCTGCCCCGCCCCCACGGCCACCCGCCCACACCAGGGCCACCTGTGGACCTGCTCATGCTTCCTCTTGGTTGGGGAATCCGATCACCTCATTTCGAGCCTCGGGCGTGAGGGAGGCACCACTGTGGTTCTCCCCTGAGTCCCCAGGCTGTTTCCCCACCAGTGAGCAGGGCCCAGCAGGGGTCTGGTGGCCCCTTGGCCTGTGGATGCTCCAGGCCCCCCGGGTCTCAGCACCATGCCAGACCTGGTCGAGGCTCCTTTCCCCTCCAGCAGGTTTTGGCATGAAAATGCAGGAATTCTGGGCCTGGGACAGCGTCCCCCACTCAGTCCAGGGGCTGCGGCTCTGGCTCCCGGCTCTCGGCCCCGGGTGTCTGCTTCCTTTCCTGACACCCCAGTTGACCTCCTCCACCTCCCATCCCCGCCCCGCTCCCCGTAAGTGAGCTGGCGAGCACCGCAGCTCCGGCCCCCCAGCTTGGTGTGAAGGGGAAAGGCGTTCGGAGAGCCCTCTGCAGGCCAGCTCGCCTGCAGCCCCATTTCCCTCCCAGTGGCAGCTCTGTCTGGTTCACAGCGGTTTTCTAAATCAATGGTGGCTGCCGGCCACTGCCGTTCTCACGGTACCGTCCGCTCCCTTCTGGAAGTCTGAGCTCCCGGGGGTCAGCTTGGCCAAGACGTGAGGTGGTGGCCGCGGGGACTTGCCACGCCGTGCAGAGGCTGCTGCTGCAGCCGAGGACCCCTCGGTGCACCCCTTGTCTCCGGGTCAGACA